CTGATAGTGCTCCCTGATCATTAGTTTCTTGTCAGGTGGGGAGGGAGAAGAGAGGAAAGGGTTGTGGAAATATACCTCTTGCCCTAATGCTGTGTTGTAGTGCTTGGCTAACTTCCAGGAGTCCAGCAAGAGAGGCAAAGCCATAGCTGACAGCTATAGAATTGCTTATTGGTAAGCCGTTGGAGCTGTCATTTGCTTTTTCTAGACAGAGGTCACCTCCAAAGACTCTTCAGATTCTATCTGAGAAGATGCTTGTTTATTGACATAGAAATTATTTTTCCAGATGAACCTTTCAAATGGATGACTTTCAAATGTCACTGCACATTAACTTCCCGAAGGAGTAAAATGTCTGGCTCCATTCTTTTTTTTTTTTTTGTCGGTATTGTTCGTGTGGCCTGAACTCTGGGCCTGGGCGCTGTCCCTCAGCTCTTCAGCTCAAGGCTAGCACTCTACCACTTGAGTTACAGCACCACTTCCAGCTTTTTCTGCTTATGTGGTGCTGAGGAATGGAACCCAGGGCCTCATGCATGCAAGGCAAGCACTCTACCACTGAGCCACCTTCCCAGCCCCCTGGCTCCATTCTTAAGGACTTGAATTCATAGGTCTGGGGTGGAGGCTGGAAATCTGCTTTTTTTTTCTTTTTTAATCTTTGGTACTTGGGATTGAACCCAGGGGTTTTGTGCATATTAAGTATGCACTTTAGCTGAGTGCTGGTGGCTCACACCTGTAATCCTAGCTACGTAGGAAGTTGAGATCTGCGGATTATGGTTTGAAGCCAACTCAGGCAGAAAAGTCTATGAGACTTTGGTGGTTAGAGAACCACCAAAAAGCCAGAAGTGGAACTGTGGCTCAAATGCTAGAGTGCCAGCATTGAGCAAAAAAAAAAGCAAAAGCTAAGGGACAGCTAGCTCTCAGCCTCTGAGCTCAAGCCCCAGCACCACACAAAAGGTAAAATAAATAAAATAAACCTGCAGTTTATCACAAAGTAACATTCCCAGCCCCAGATTCTGTGTTTTCACAGACTTCGGGGACTTAGCTAGCCAGCATTCTCCAAAACACTGACTTAGAATTTGGCCCAGTTTTCCAAATAGCTTCTTTCTGCTGGAGTCTGTTTTAATCACTTTCTTCATAGAAGAATTTATGAGCATTTCTATGGTTATTACCTGTTTGATTCTCATAGCATCACAGTAACTAGAGCGGGAACCAGGTGGTTAGCTCCATTTTATTGGGGTGAGGAGGGTGTGATTGAAGCATTGGGAAAGGTAGGTCACTATGAGTCAGAGACAGGGATGAGAATTGAAGTCCAGAATTGATGACTCTTAAGCCAGGTAATTTTCTGGGACCTCTTTTCTCAGCTTGTGATTTCATATTTAATAATAGTTATTCCGTAGGCCTCTAATTCACTGGGCTTGGGTTAGCAAGTCATATCTAAGTTTTGAATAAAGTAGCCTAGCAGCAGTGTGCCAGGTTTGTTTGTTTGGGTAGCATATCAAGGTTTTTCTGAGCTTAAGCTTATATTCAGATGAAATGTGTGGAAAGGACACACATTTCTCTCAGTGTCTGCTTCCTTTAACATGTTGGAGACTTGTTTTGCATAGAGCATGAAGGGACAATTTTCCTTTCTATGCCAATGGGACCCTCCTCTGGCCTTCTAACTGGTAAAGTACAGAATCAAAAACCTCAGAGCCCTCTGCCCCTCACAATTGAGCCAGTTTTGTTTCTTTTGGTTGTGCTGGTATGGAGCCCGGGACCTTCTGTATGCCAGGCAAATCTGTTGAGTGGTAGGTTCTCTAGACTTGGATCCATTCTCAAAGCTCTTTAAAATAAACATTTTATTATCTTTGAAGTAGTTGTACAAAGGGGCTTGAATTCAACAAATCAGTTTGTAAGTGCAGTGCATTTTGGTCAATGCTACCTCTTCTATCATTCTCCCACATCGATCCCATTTTTTTCTTTTTTCTTTTTCTTTCTGTCGATTGTAGGGCTTGAACTCTGGGCTTGGCCGCTATCCCTGAGCTCTTCATTTCAAGCTCTATCACTCAAGCCACAGCACCCCTTCCGGTTTTCTAGTGGTTTATTGGAGGTAAGAGTCTCATGGACTTTCCTGCCCAGGCTGGCTTTGAACTGTGATCCTCAGATCTCAGCCTCCTGAGTAGCTAGTTACAGGTGTGAGCCACCAATACCCAGCTCAATCCATTTTTTAAAAGAAAAAAACATCCTGAAAACTTTCGGCCAACTTGTTCTTATTAAATGTTACTAAGGTTTACAAATAAACCAGGAATTGTCTTCTTTATTATTCTTATTCTTAAAAAAACAACCAATTTACAAATTAAGTACCAACAAAACCACAGGACTAATATTGTTCAAATTTGTAATGGTATGGTAATTAAGCATGACAAATGATGTCTTTTGCTAAAAGTAAACCAAACTATGCTACTGCCTGTTAAAGCTCAGCTTTCTTTCTTACTTTTTTTTTTTTCTGGTCTTGGATCTTGAATTCAAGGCATGGACTCTGTCCCCTAGCACTTTACTTGCCCAACTTCTGGCTTTTTGGTGTTTAATGGCAGATAAAAATCTCATGGACTTTCCTACCCAAGCTGGCTTTGAACCATGGTCTTCAGATTTTAGCCTCTGAGTTGCTAGGATTACAGGTGTGAGTCACTGGCATCCAGTAAAACGCAGCTTCTTTTGAATACATCAAGCCTACATCACTCAGTGATCCAAGATGTTTCTTTCTCTTTAAAAACTATAAATACAGAACCATGATGTCATTGGCTCTCATTTTTGTGTATAAAAGCATTACTTCCTTTTCCTTTCTGTCTCTTCTTTCCCCATTTTCCTTTGCTTTTCACTTCCTTTCCTTTCTGTTTCCCCTTCTCTTCCTTTCCTTTCCCTTTTGCTTTTTTCCTTCCTTTCCCCTCTCCTCCCCTCGCCTCCCCTTGCCTTCCCTTTCCTTCCCTTCTCTTCCCTGTGAATCTCCTTTGTAGGATTTGATCCTACTGGGATGACCAGTATGAAGCACCACATTCAGCATTTTATTGTTTAAGGTGAGGTCTTGGGCTGGGAAGGTGGCTCAGTGGTAGAGTGCTTGCTTGCCTTGCATGCACGAAGCCCTGGGTTCGATTCCTCAGCACCACATAAGCAGAAAACGCTGGAAGTGGCTCTGTGGTTCAAGTGGTAGAGCACTAGCCTTGAGATGAAGAGCTGAGGGACAGTGCCCAGGCCCAGAGTTCAGGCTCCACTACTGGCAAAAGAGAGAGAGAGAGAGAGAGAGAGAGAGAGAGAGAGGAGGTCTTGAGAACTTTCTGTGTTAGCTGATCTCAAACTTTGATCCTCCTGATTTCTGCCTCCCAATTAGTTAGGATTACAGACTTTAACAATCCTGCCTGGTCTCGAGTTCTCTCTCTCTCTCTCTCTGTTTCATTTTCAATCCAACTCTGTTCTTTTATTACTATCCCAGGATAGATAGCACGGAAACACATGCAACTGTAGGTACTAAACTCACTTTTTGAAAAAACTGATTTAAAGTACTTGTCATAATCCAGAATATGCTTATTCAGATCTAAAAGTTTACTGAAATGAAAGCCAGATTAAAACCCTAGAGAATATACCCATGTACCTAATGTGAGGAAACCTGTTGATTCCATTGATTCTAACTATTGATTTATTAATTTTTACTGTCAAAGGCTCTGTCTAGTGTGTATACTGCCAGGAATCTCATGCTTTTTTGAAAAAGTATGTATCTCCTAATTGTATTTATTGATAACTTTGTAGTCTTAAAAACCAGACACCTAAAGATATTTTAAAGCTTTCCATCATCACGTGCAGTTATCTTTCTAACTCGTTTGTGTTCCAGTCCAGAGCAAACAAGGCCAGGGCCGTTGTAGTTATTTTATGCTGCTTAAGAAGTGTAAGTAAAACCTTTTCATTCAGAACGTTTTGTACTTATAAGTTGACATGTTGAATTGGAGCCCCTTTGTGCAGCTAAAGATAATTGGGAAAGTTATATATGAAAAAATAACTTTTAGAAGAGCTCCAGGCCTGGGGCCCTCTTGAAGGTCCAGAGAGGCCAGTCCAGGCTTTCTTTTACAGGAAAGTAGCCGCAAGGGCCCAGTTTGGAAGCATTAAAGCTTGTCCTGGTTTTGCTTGATTGTTGTACTTCTTGCATGCTAAAGAGCTAAAAAATGGGAGGAAGAAAATACAACAGAAGGCACGGTTCCAGTACCAAACTGAAAGGAAACACGAAAACAAGAGAGCAGCATGGCTTCAACAGCTTGCACGAGGGAAACAACATTGACTGGGGAGTTTGGACGGCACGGTGCGTTTTCTCTCGCGCAGGCCGGAGGAAGGGGTGGAGGGGCTGGGGGCGGGGAGGCTGGATACCCCGGGGGAGAGGGCCGGCCCCCGCGGGCCCGGGGCCAGCACGCGGGCGGAGAGGCCCAGCCCTTTCCCTCCGCGCCTCTGGCCCCGCCCCAGCCCCGCCGAGTCCCGCGACGCCGCCGCCCGTGTCACTCGGGTCCCTGGCTCCCTCTGGCCACCACGGCCAGGATGAATCCTTGCCCCTGTTTCTTTCGGCTGGGGAAGGGACAGAAGGGTTCCATTCGCTTCCTCAGCCCATCGTTCTTCTGGGGTTCACACCTTCAACTACAATGGGGGTCCGGCGGAGGTATCCACCATCAGAAGAGGGACCTGACCTCTGCAACTGCGCCTAGCTTGTGCGGGAACCCTAGGGCTGCCTGCCTGGAGGGGCGGGGTTCGGGGGTGGGGCGGGGCCTTGATGTGGGGCGGAGCCCGGGTGCGGGGCGGGGCCCAGGCGCGGGGCGAGGCCTTGGTGTGGGGCGGGGCCCTGGCGCGGGGCGGGGCTTGGGGCAGGCCCTGGGGGCGGGGCCCTGGCGTGGGGCGGGGCCCTGGCGTGGGGCGGGGCCCTGGCGTGGGGCGGGGCCCAGGGGTGGGGCGGGGCCCTGGCGTGGGGCGGGGCCCAGGGGTGGGGCGGGGCCCTGGCGCGGGGCGGGGCCCTGGCGCGGGGCGGGCGACGGCGACGAGCCGGAGGAGAAAGAACATGGCGGGCGCAGCGGGGCCTGGGACCGGCCCGGGGTCCGCCGGCGGAGATGGGGACGACTCGCTGTACCCCATCGCGGTTTTAATCGACGAGCTCCGCAATGAAGATGTGCAGGTACGGAAGGGGGCCCGGAGAGCGGCCGGGCCCCGCGGGGCTGGTGGCGGGAGGGGAGGAGGCCGTGAGGGGGAGGGCGAGGGAGCCGAGGGCCGGGCTCTCCCCGGGGCTGGCCGGGGAGGCAGGAAGGGCGGCCGGTCCCGCGGGGGCTGCGGCGGCCAGCGCCCTGCCCGGGCCCCCGGCGCCGGCTGCCCCCGGGGCGCCGGGGAGGCCGGCTTCCCGCCTCCGCGGTGCCTCCCGCGCCGCGCCGCCCCGTCCCGCAGTGTCGGGGGGCGGGCGCAGGCTGCGGGGCGCCGGGGGAGCGGCGGCGGCGCCTCGGCCGCAGGTGGCCGCGGGGCCCTGCGTGCGGGGAATGCCTCTTCCCTCCTCCCGGCGTGGAGAGAGGCGGAGCGGGGCTGCCCGGTGTGTCAGCGTCCTGGGAACGTTTCTCCGTGAATCCGGCCGCCTGCTCCTCACCGACACTGCACTCTCCTTCACAGACTCTCAGTGCCCCGGGGATGTCATTCATTCCTTCCTTTCCCGGCCCTTCCAGGTCTCTGCCCTGATGAGTTACTCCAGAGTTTCCTTATGCATGAAATCTAAACGAAAGGTTACCCTCCTTTGTATACCATTTTTACCCTTTGATCTTAATTGCAGCCGTTTCTTTACTCCCCCCCCCCCCCATGTTCTTTCTTTTTTTTTAAAGCTCCGTCTGAACAGTATTAAGAAATTATCAACAATTGCTCTAGCACTTGGAGTAGAAAGGACCCGAACTGAATTGCTGCCATTCCTTACAGGTATATGTCTTTGTTTAAACTATATGTAGTGGCTGTAATCCCAGCTACTACAAGGAAGATGGGTTTCATGAGGATCGAAGTTTGAGGATATCTGGGGCAAAAAGTTAACTAGATTACATCTCAGTTAATGAGCTGGTCAGTGTGAGGCGCTACTATAATCCTAGCTGTATAGGAATTACAGATAAGACCAGGAAGATTGAGGTCCTAGGCCTAGCTGGGCATGAAAAGAGACCCTATCCGTAAAATAATCTAAAGCATGTGGAAGCATGACTTGTGTAATAAGTGCTTGGCCAGTAAGTTCAAGGCCCTGAGCTCAAACCCTAGTGCCTCCACAAAAAGCAAAAAAGGAAATGGACATTCTGTTTCCCAGTGACTTTCAAAACTTTGTTTATTAAAGTTTGTTACCTACAGTATCATTAGGTACTAAGTTGAACAATGGAAACAGAACAAATATATGTAGTAATGTTAAGGCTAGATAGATTCAAACATTAACCATTTGGCTAGGAGTTAAATTGGTTCTACAGTATGAGTCTTACTAATAGTGTAAAATTTATTCAGATAGGCTAATGAGAGGGAAGATGGTACTGTTAGGAGTGTGGCTGGACCATCTCATAATCTAGTCCTACTTCTGATTGAGGGTCCCACTCAGGGTTGATGAATCCCTGCTGATTCTCCTTTCTAGATACGATTTATGACGAAGATGAAGTGTTGTTAGCTCTTGCTGAGCAACTGGGGAACTTCACAGGCCTGGTGGGAGGTCCTGATTATGCCCACTGTCTGCTGGTGAGTACTTAGCTACTGCCTACTGCCTTGAGAGCTTTATAGTATAGGAGGTGTACTGTGTACTTCAGCCTTTTTTGTGCAGATCTTTGTTACTCATGTTAATTAGTGAGAAAAAAAACAATGTAGACATTTGAGTATTTCTTTTCCTGGCTGACTTAAAGAACTTTTCTCTGTTTCTGTACTGTACACATAATAGTTCAGAGATGGGAAGGAAAATATCTGATTATTTAAAAATTTTTCCCTTGGAAGCAGGACTTTTTGATTTTCATCTAGCGTGTGTGTGTGTGTGTGTGTGTGTGTGTGTGTGTATGCTGGATTTTCATCTAGCGTGTGTGTGTGTGTGTGTGTGTGTGTGTGTGTGTGTGTGTGTGTGTGTGTGTGTGTGTATGCATGCTGGTCCTGCAGCTCCAACTCAGGGCCTAGGTGCTGTCCCTGAGATTCTTTTTCTTAAGGCTAATGCTCTACCACTTGAGCCATGGGGCACTTCTGGCTTCTTCTAAGTAGTTTATTGGAGAAAAGAGTCTCAGACTTGCCTGTCCAGACTGGCTTTGAACCACAGTTCTCAGACCTTAGCCTCACAAGTAGCTAGAATTACAGGCATGAGCCACCAGCATCCAGCAATATTTTGTTTTTAGTTGTGTAATTTTTGCTTTTGATGAGTTCAGTTTACTTCACATTATTGGGAACCTACTTTATCAGGCACATTGTAAGTTACAATTAATGTTGAAGACCAGTTCAAATGGAATGAAGTCTGTCTTTATGTATAGACAGATATTTGCTGTGCAGTCTTAAGTGGAAAAATACAAGCTCTTAAATGGAAAACTGCAACCCCATACAAAGTACCCAAGTAGTAGGCAATCAAAAGGGATCCACTTTGAGCCATCAGGGAAGACTTCTTGGGAGATGATACCTGAATTAGATTTTAAAGGATGACCTGGAACTTAGCAGTTGGACAAGGAAATTTTGTTTTATCATAGCACTTTAAATTATCTGTATGCTTAGTGTTTTAAATTTTCTCCCTGATACTGGCTCTCACGATTTCTAACTCAACCTCCAACTATTGTATAGCACCCCAGAGGTTTTTTATGTATAGATACCAATTAGTTTATAGAGATTGATATGTGTGTCTATATGATTTATCTATCTGGATATAAAACATGTACTTCAAATATAATATACCTAAAGCAGAACTCAACTCCCCTTCTCCCCCTCCTATATGCTTCTTTTAGTTTATCACCATCTACTCAGTTACAGAGGCTAAAACCCAGAATGTATTTTTTTCCCTCCTTGGTTGTGTTAAGTAGTGAGCCCAGGGCCTCACCCATGGTCAGCAAGCACTATACCATTGAGCAGCATCCCTATCTACAGTCTTTTCATTCCTTCTCCACATCTAATCTGTGAGAAACACCTCCAGATGCTACATATATTTTACGATAGTCCCTTCCCTCCTCCCTTCCTACTAAAGTACCATGATCTTTCATTTAGATTACTACAGTAACTTCTTAACTATAAATGTTAGTGATGGCTTGACTTAGGAGCTTTTGACTTTACATGGGTGCAAAAAATGTTGCACATTCAGTTGGAACTGTATTTCAATTTTGAATTTTGATCTTTTCTGGGACTCCGGTAAAAATACTCCCAAGTAGAATAATGTTACGTGCAGCCTAGCTGGCTGCCCCTGGATAGGCACGTGATCATAGGTGTAAACCAGTACTGTGCGTGGTTCTCTGTGTCCAGACTGATGGTTGATAGGTTGGGTTTCACTGTATTTTTCATCTGTTGAGTTTCACTGTATTTTTCATCTATTGTATTGCTAAGTTATGATGAGTCTATTGGATGTAATTCCATTGGAAGTTAGGAGCATCTGTAGTTGACTTACAATATCTCTTCTAGTCCTGTGGATCACTGCTGTGGATTATAAAAAATTAGACTCTATAATTTACAAACCTTAATGTAACATGCCTCTTTGAGCTTACCTCGTATCATGTGCCTTTTTGGTGCTTCATTCTCTTCGTATTGGTCTTCTTTCTTTTCTTTGTGTGTGTGCCAGTCCTGAGACTTGAACTCAGGGTCTGGGTGCTGTCCCTTGAGGTTTTTTGCGCTAGGTTAGCACTCTACTACTTGAGCCATAGCTCTACTTCCTTCTTTCTGTTCTTTGAATAAGCCAGGTTCATTGTTTCCTTAAGACTGACCTTTAACCTTTATCTCTAATGAGATGCTGTTTTGAGCTTCCTGTGTCTGACTCTGCAAACAACTTCAACTCATCTTTAATTGACTTTCCCTAATCATTCAACTTGAAATAGCCTGCCACTTCCTATCACCTCTTTCTGTTCTTTTTCTTTACAAAGTGTTAGTCACCAACTAATTGTTGCCTTGGTTGACTGTTATTTCCTCCAGTTAAACTCCTCAAGGAACCTTTTCCTGTGTTTTATCTGCTGTGGTACAGCAGATCATTTATTGGAAGAAGGAGCTTCATAGTCTTGGAAACATGAAACTTGTTGGAATCAAAACTACTATAGTGATCAAAGGTCCATAAGAAAAGGACTTGGAGAGGGAGCAGAGTTCCAAACAAGGTTCTCTGGAGTCTTTGTCTTGTAGTGATAGACCCCTAGGCTGGTAATGCATGAGAGGAAGTCACTGTTGGCAGAGGACAGGTTGTGAAAGACCTCAACAAGTAAGAGCCAGGTGGTGTCTTCCTTCTTTTTTCTTTTGGTGATTTTGGGGTTTAAAGTCAGAGCTTTGCATTTGCTAGGCAAGCACCTATCACTTGAGACATGCCAGGCAAGGCAGTATCTTTTTTTTTGTGCTGTCCCTGAGCTCTTCAGCTCAAGGCTAGCGCTCTACCACTTGAGCCACAGCACCACTTCTGGCTTTTTCTGCTTATGTGGTACTAAGGAATTGAACCCAGGGCCTCATACATGCGAAGCAAGCACTCTACCACTGAGCCCCCTTCCCAGCCCCAACAGTATCTTTTCAATAAGCTTTTGAAATACTCTTTATGAAAGCTGAGAACTATTGAGCTTTATGTATCAAATATTTTTGAAATGCCTTATTACATGGGTACACATCTTTCCTTTGAGTTGTTACTCTTCTGCTGCACTCTGTAGATCAATTCTCCAGGTGGACTTCATGCTCTAATCTTCATAGTTTAGCATGTGCTGAATGTACTTGGGCTGAATACAAACCCAGAAGAGCACAGCTTCAGAGAACCAGCCTGATTTTCACTTTCTAATGGGCCATGTCATGTTCGTTGCTGAACCTTCTCTGGACACCAATCCCTTTGTACTCTTCTTCTAAAGCAGCAAACTGGTCTCCTACCTTCTCTATACTCTTCACTTGGTTTTTCTGTCAGAGCCTTCTGCATATGGGTGATATTGGCCTTTTAGAGGTTGGATAATTGGATGGCTTAGACCTAGTAGGCAGGGTCACTTTAATCTCCAGGTAGACAGTATTGGTTTAACCTCTAGGACCTCTAGGCTGTTGCTCAAAAGGATGTAGGTTCAGCGGCCTGACAGGATGTCATTGTGTGATTGCAGTACCTGATGGGGGTCATATTTCTGTGCTTAGTCTTAAGGAAAGACATGTCCTTTCCGAGTCTGGCTACGTATCATTTAAACTTAGTGATTTAGCTTCCAGTAATAATATTGTGTCAAGTCTCTTCCACGGTGTCATTAGTAGACGCCATCTGGGAATTGCCATCTGGGACATGGGATCTTGGCTTTTCCACAGAAGTCGTGTCTTCAGGGTGACTGTTCCATATGTTATCACCGCGTGAACTCAGAGTAACCATTTGGTACGAAGTAGCTCACATTCTGGCTTTATGTCCCACTGACTTCCCTTCAATTTCATTAAAGGTGACAGTCTGCCTCTAACCAGATTTACTAAGTTTTCTTCTCTGCTTTTCCTTTTTGATGTTCAGCCTCCTTTGGAAAGTCTGGCTACTGTGGAAGAGACCGTGGTTCGAGACAAGGCTGTGGAGTCCCTGAGGCAGATCTCCCAGGAGCACACGCCCATTGCTCTGGAAGCCCATTTTGTGCCTCTGGTGAAACGCCTCGCAAGTGGGGACTGGTTCACCTCTCGCACATCTGCGTGTGGCTTGTTCAGTGTTTGCTATCCCAGAGCTTCAAATGCTGTCAGGGCAGAAATTAGACAGTAAGATATAATACCTTTTTAGTATTTGGGGCTGTTGTGGGCTCACAGTTGACAGTTTACTTACTACTCTATTACCAGTGAGTGGTCCAAAGTAGAATAGTCGGGTTGATGCCATTGTAAAAAACAAAACAAAACAAAAGTCATGCAGCTGAATATGCCAGTGTTTTATTTTTGTTCCTTTTATGTGTAGAAACTTAATCACTGATGTTTGTAAGGGGAGACTACACTGTGTGTGTGTGTGTGTGTGTGTGTGTGTGTGTGTGTGTGTGTGTTTTGGGCATCTGTAACCCTTAGCAATGACAGGAAATACCTCCTTATTGTCTGCTGCAGGCACTTCCACTCCCTGTGCTCGGATGACACGCCAATGGTACGGCGTGCCGCGGCTTCCAAATTGGGTGAATTTGCAAAAGTTCTGGAATTAGAAAGTGTGAAAACTGAGATTGTTCCACTGTTCACTAATCTAGCTTCAGATGAACAGGTAAATCAACTCATATTTAAGAGCTACAGATATATTATAAACATCTTTTTTACAGGGTTTGGTTCTTATGGCAGGATCTACTTTGCAAAATGAGCAAAAACCTGGTCTGGTATGACTCACCTTGGTGTCCATAGGTTTCTTTCTTAACCAGACCATTGGAAAGGAAGGCACATGGGGCCAAATCTTTAAGCCATAGTATAGAGTTTTAGATTTTCTTTTCTGGACTCATTGAAACTACATCTAGATTTTTGAGCAGAGGAGTGGTATGGTATGATTTACATTTTTGGATAGGAGATACGAATAGACAACAGAAGACCAGTTAGGAGATTTAGAGAAAGCAAGGAAGAAATGATGGACGTGAATTCAGGTGGTAATAGTGAAGATGGAGAGGGATCTGCATGGTTTGGAGCCAGAGCCAAAACCATTTAGCACTGTTAGATTAGACTAGGGGAACAGGAATCAAGACCTAGAGTTTTGACTTGAGCACTGCTAAGACTGAGAAGATTCTGGAAAGCGGAACGGGGGAGGAAATGCAGAGCTTTGGAAGGGAGTGATAGTAGTTCTTTGACTTGATCTCACTAAAAAAAATCTACAACATCTGTAGGATAGCCAAAAACCTAGTTCTGCCTTTTCTACCTGTTCCTTTGGATAGGAGGAAGGAATGTGTTGAGCAGGCAGTCGGTTATCGCAGATTTATAGTTTTTCAGATTTCTGTTTTGGAGAGCTAGAGTCACTATAGTCTTTCTTGATCGTGTGTCTGATGTACGTGTGTTCATGCATTCTTTTTGCCTCATGTTTCCTGCTGCTCATATATTGACAGGGTTTCATATTCTACTTATATGTCTATGATTACCAAGTCTACATTCTCAACTCCTAATTTCTGATTGAGTTTTTTTTTTTGTTTTTAATTGTAAAAATACTGTACAGAGGGTTACAGTTACATGACTAATGTAATGAGTATAATTCCTATCGAACATTGTTACCTCCTCGTTTGTTTTCCCCTATCATCCCTTTCCTCCCCACCTCCCCAATCTGATTGAGTTTTATTTGCATATTTCCATTGGTAAAAGAGCACGAGATGTCAAATTGTCATTTGGCACTTTGTGTGTGAGTTCATTTATCCCCTTAATGTCTCTCTCTCTCTCTCTCTCTCTCTCTCTCTCTCTCTTTCTGTCTTTGCTCTAGCATTTAGCCTCAACTTTTTTTTTTTTTTTTTTTTGGGCTGGTCTTGGGGCTTGAACTCAGGGCCTGGGCACTCTTGAGTCTCTCTGTGCTCAAGGCTAGAGCTCTACAACTTGAGCCGCAGCGCCACTTAACAGCTTTTTCTGTTTATGTGGTACTGAGGAATCAAACTCAGGGCTTCATGCTAGGCAAGCACTCTACCATGAAGCCACATTCCCATCCCCTCTTTTCTTTTTTTTTGGTTACAAATTTTTTATTTGCTTTGTGAATTTCTTTCCAAATCTGTCTCCTGCCTATACTCCTCTGACTGCCACTGTGAGCTGAGTAGTTTGAAAACTGAGCTTGCAAAGTGATGGGCCTTGCCTCTTTTCTCTGCTTTGATCGGTTCTAAATCACTTCTGTAAGTGTAATTTCCATTTCCTACATTTTCTACTATAACTAGGCTTCAGATAGATCATACATATGTTCTCTTTGACACTTTTTGCCTTTCATTTTCCTTAGTAAAAATTCCAGCCAAGGTTATCTGCTGTTCTTCCTATAACACCTTCGTTTCTTTAGGTTTTCACATGCCATTCTTGGTGAAGGGAGCAAGCCATTCAGCCATTTTCAGACATAAAGACGTGAAATTACACATGGTGTTTTGTTTGTTCTTTTTCTGAAACGACACCTGTAGCAGCACTGCTTCATGTCACATAGAACTCTGTGTGTTCCTTTAGGATTCAGTGCGCCTCCTGGCTGTGGAAGCCTGTGTCAGTATTGCCCAGTTACTCCCTCAAGATGACCTTGAGACCTTGGTCATGCCTACGCTTAGGCAAGCAGCGGAAGATAAATCTTGGCGAGTTCGCTATATGGTAGCAGACAAATTTTCAGAGGTAAAATTAGTGCATTGGCTGTGTGTGTGTGTGTGAGAGAGAGAGAGAGAGAGAGAGAAGGAGAGAGGGAGAGAGAACGAGAGAACGAGCATGTGACAGTACTGAAGCTTGAGATCTAGGCGTCATTCCCTTGCTCAGTGTTTTCTGCTCACAGCTGGTGAGCCATACCTTCAGTTCTGGCTTTTTGCTGGTTAATTGTAGATAACAGTCTCAAGCCTTTGTCTATTTTGGTTGGCTTTGAACCTTTATACTTCAATTTCAGTCTCCTGAGGAGCTAGAATTATAGGCATGAACCATTGATGCCTGACCTATATTGGCATTTTTTTTTTTTTTTTTTTTTTTTTTTTTTTTTTTTGTCGGTCGTGGGGCTTGAACTCTGGGCCTGGGCGCTGTCCCTCAGCTCTTCAGCTCAAGGCGAGCGCTCTACCACTTGAGCTACAGCGCCACTTCCGATTTTCTGGTGGTTTATTGGAGATAGGAGTCTCACGGTCTCTCCTGCCCGGGCTGGCTTTGAACCGCGATCCTCAGATCTCAGCCTCCTGAGTAGCTAGGATTACAGGCGTGAGCCACCAGCGCCCGGCTTCTATATTGGCATTTTTAAGTATTAAAAACCTCAAGAGAAAACACTCATATTTCTGTTGTATGTGGAGTGTCTGGATTCTTTTGAATGGAAAATGTAACAATATACTTGAAAATTGTATACAACTCTTTTTTTTTTTTTTTTTTTTTAGCTCCAGAAAGCTGTGGGTCCTAAAATCACCCTAAATGACCTCATCCCAGCTTTTCAGAACTTACTTAAAGACTGTGAAGCTGAAGTCCGAGCAGCTGCTGCCCATAAAGTGAAAGGTTCTGGAATTAAATTCATGCTGTAATCTTTGTTACTCAGTTTTTGTCAGTCATTTTGGTGCTTTCTGTGTGTGTGCTGGTACTGGGGATTGAACTCAGGGCCTTGTGCTTTTACTTGATTGTTTTGCTCAAGACGGGTATTCTGCCACTTGAGTCACACCTCCACTTTTGGCTTTTTACTGGTTAATTGGACATGAGAGTCTCTCAGAGTCTCTCTGCCTGGGTTGGCATGAGTCTTAGAGTTGTCTTCATGGCTTTGAGCTGAACCTAGATCCTCAGCGCTCAGCCTCCCGAGTAACTAGTATTTCAGGTCTGAGCCACTGGTATTTTTTTTTTTTTTTTTAATATCCACGGCTCTTTTTTAAAATCTTAGAATGTGTTTCAGTTAATAGAGATGCTTCAGAGTATGAAAATGTCATAGTGGCATATAAAGCTGCTCCTTTACAGACTTAACAGCCATTTTGTCTTGGTTCTAAAAGCTTATTTACAGGCTAGATTGGCATAGTTAGTATGCAAGGGTCCAAAGACCTTGGTTGGTTTTAGACATACGATTTGCTTTAACTTGCAATAGTTGAAAAGCCTATGGTACTTACTTGGTTATGTGTAAATGGTTCTATGAAAACACTAATTTTTCTATTTATCTCTTTCAGAACTTTGTGAGAACTTGCCCAATGAAGGTAGAGAGACCATAATAATGAGTCAGATTCTACCCTATATAAAGGTAAATGCAACTTCAATTTACTTTTTTTGTTTTGTTTTGTTTTGTTTTGCTGGTTGTGGGGCCTGAACTCTGGGCCTGGGCGCTTTCCCTCAGCACTTCAGCTCAAGGCTAGCACTCTACCACTAGAGCCACAGCATCACTTCTGGCCTTTTTTGCTTATGTAATGCTGAGGAGTTGAACCCAGGGCCTCATGCATGCAAGGCAAGCATTCTACCACTGAGCCACCTTCTCAGCCCCTCAGTTTACTTTTTTACTATTCACTATATGAAGGTGAATGTTCAGTTTTTTTTTTTTTCCTTAAAGTTCTTGGAGTTTAAGGTGGACATGGAATAATTAAGGCAGATGTTTTAAATTTGTTTTTTTTAATTGCTTATGGGTTCACATTACTATTATTCTTATAAGGTGCTCTTTGATACTTCTGCCTGTCAGATCTAACAGATGTCTGTCTCATGAAATAGTGCTGGCTCTCAGTGCCATAGGAGATGTATGAAGGCTTTTGTAGTCTTGCAAAAGAAAAAAGTCTTAACTTTTTGTTTTATTTTAGGAGTTAGTATCTGATACCAATCAACATGTCAAATCAGCTCTAGCTTCTGTAATTATGGGATTGTCTACTATTCTGGGTAAAGAGAATACCATTGAACATCTTCTACCTCTTTTTTTAGCTCAGTTAAAGGATGAGGTGAGTGGTTATATATTCTATTGCCTTTATAGTCCTTGATTTAATGTGATTTTTGGCTTGGAGTTTCACTAAAATAGGACTGAAACATGGAAATGGGTTTAAAAACCATAGCGTGACGTTTTAGACTCTCCTTCTGGGTATGAGGTAAAGGTTCCTCAGAAAATGGATATAAGGATCGCAAACCTAAAAATGTGTATCCATCTTTCTGCTTGAGTTCTGCTTTATGTTTTCTTGTTCCAGTATCTTTAGACCCAATATATCTTTGCTAAAAAAGTATCTGTATTTTATTTGTTTAGTGGTGCTGGGGTCTTGAACTCAAGTCTTCTACTTGTCAGCAGCTGCTCTTATTGCTGGGCCCTGCTTCCATCCCTTGTTTGTGCTGGTTATTTTCTAGATAGGATCCCACTTCATGCCCAGGCATATGCCTAGGCCTTGATCTGCCTATTTTAGGCTTCATGACTAGGCTTCATAACTGGCAGATGTTACTGGGACCAGCTTTCTGTTGAGAAAGGAGTCTCAGGAACTTTTCTGCCTGGCCTGGCCTTGAACCATGATTCTCCTAATCTCAGCCTCCCATTTAGCAAAAGTAATAGGCATGAGTCACTGTTAAAAAATTATCTTTTATTTAAGCTTAGATAATGATAGCTAATATTTCTTGAAAGATACGTGCTGAGCATGGTTTTAAGTTCTTCCTATGTATTGTGAAATGAAATCCTCACAACGGTTTAATGAGGTAGATCTTATTACTCTCATTTTTCAGATGAAGAAGCCGAGGCACAGTGAGATAAAATAACCTGCCCGAGATTTATAAGCCGCGGCAGATAGCGGATGTACCTGATAGGTACAGAGGTTATATGTACTCAGTATTTACTGTTTTGTAAGCTGTACTTGGTTTGTATGTGTCATATACCCATACACACCAGTCATATACACCAGTTATATCCCCCTTTTTTTCCTACCTATCAGTGCTTTATAGAACTTTTTTTGGGTTGGTCATGGGGCTTGAACTCTGGGCCCCTTGGTGCTGTCCCTGAGCTCTTCAGCTCAAGGCAAGCCCTCTGTCACTTGAGCCATAGCGCTACTTCCGGTTTTCTTGTGGTTTATTGGAGATGTGTCTCATGGACTTTTCTGCCGGGGCTGGCTTTCAACAGTGATCCTGAGGTCTCAGCCTCCTGAATAGGTAGGATTATAGGCATGAGCCACTGGCTCCTGGCATTTTATAGCACTCTTTAATCTTATGACAGAAGAATATTTGGCATGATTTTTTTTGTTGTTGTTGGTTGTGGGGCTTGAACTCTGGGCCTGGGCGCTGTCCCTGAGCTCTTCAGCTCAAGACTAGCACTCTACTACTTGAGCTACAACACCACTTCCAGTTTTCTGGTGGTTAATTGGAGGTAAGAGTTTCACGGACTTTCCTGCTCAGGCTGGCTTTGAACCTTGATCCTTAGATCTCAGCCTCCTAAGTAGCTAGGATTACAGGCGTGAGCCATTATTTATGTATGATCTTTTTGGAATTGTTTATTTATAGTGTCCTGAAGTTCGTTTGAATATCATCTCTAATTTGGATTGTGTCAATGAAGTGATCGGGATCCGTCAGCTCTCTCAATCTCTCCTTCCTGCCATTGTGGAACTGGCTGAAGATGCCAAGTGGAGGGTCCGGCTGGCCATCATTGAGTATATGCCACTGCTTGCGGGCCAGCTGGTGAGTATAGGTGCTCTTGAAACTAAAGGGTAGTGCAGATAATGGAGATTTAACCATGGCAAGTAGAAGCCCAAACAGTCTTATGACTTTACTTAGATGTGTGAAAGCATGCTTTTCTATGTTACTTACCGGATGGCTTTTATTTTCGTTAGAGCATTAACTGGTGTTAGAAAAGTATTATAGCTATAAACACATTTCATTTTACTGCCACCATAATCAAAGTCATGTATAATATGATGAATTTCTTGGTATGGTATCTATATCATAAATCTTGTAATATTTGAAGCCAAAGGACTAATTTATAAAAAAGAAAATGAAGTATGGTTTCAAGATAAATTAGATTGATTTTTGTTCTAAGAAGCATCTCTGGTTACCTATATTGTAAGCAAAATGTCCTTAAAAACTACTTTTTCCTGAATTCTGATGCGAGTTGAGGAACAACCTATGTAGATAAGCTTGTAATTCAATTATTTTGGCCAAGTCCACATTTTTTATCATATTGTCTGTTATTATTAGTTTTATTCTGAAACCATTATGTTTAACATTTTTCCTTTTTTCTTTTTTTTTTTTGGGGGTGGGGAGGAGGTTTTGAACTCTGGGCCTGGTACTATCCCTGAGCTCTTCAGCAGTTTAACTAGCACTCTACCACTTGAGCTACAGCACCACTTCCTATGCTTAACATTTCAAAGCTAAATTTTATAGTCACATTTGTTGCTTTCTTTCCTTTCCATTAGATGATCTAAAAGTTTCATAGGTCCTTATTCTTTTTCTTTTTTTGGTCGGTTGTGGGGCTTGAACTCTGGGCCTGGGCTCTGTCCCCGCACTCTTCAGCTCAAGGCGTGCGCTCTACCGCTTGAGCCACAGTGCCACTTCCAGTTTTCTAGTGGTTTATTAGAGATAAGAGTCTCACATGGACTTTCCTGCCCAGGCTGGCTTTGAACCGTGATCCTCAGATCTCAGCCTCCTGAGTAGTTAGAATTACAGGTGTGAGCCACTGTGACTGGCCATAGGTCCTTATTCTTGCTGGTAGCGTGCTGTTAACTGTTCTGATGTAGTCAGTGTGAAAGTTCATTGTAACGAAAGCACTATACTCTTACTGTGTATTGAGGAGAGTTGACTAGTGATTACTTCTTGGGCAGGGACTGTTCGGTGTTTCATTTCTAGTGGCTGCTACAAAGCCTGATTAATTGGCCTTTGTTGATTGTTGAATAAAAGAATGCAGGAGTATTTATGAGAAAGCTCATATGTCAGTTAGAGCTGACAGGACTCCAGTTTGTATCCCTCCCTTGGCCCTGCTCTGATCCTATCAGATCACAGCGTGAGGTTTATTTTTTCTTTCTCTGACCAGTGGATTTATATCAGTGATTTCGGTCCCTTTAGTTCATGAACATGTATCTTCTGGATGTCTGCAGCATTATGTTGTATAGAATTCGAGGTGTTCTGTTCTTCAGAATAGTTGCCAAAGTGGTCAGCATATTTGAGAGTCAGGAGAAATCATCTTGTCACCCTGCCCATTGTCCCTCCCAGGCTGTGACTCTCTAGGATCATTCTGTGGGGTGGAAAGCAGCCGTGGCTAATGGGTTGCTGAAGACTGAAACAGCTGTCTGGGAAGTGAATGCCAGCACGAGTTCTTTTTTTATTTTTTGTTTTTTAGTATCTTACACTTTTTCTCATTGGCTGGCATTCTACCACCTGAGCCATGCCTCCAACCCCAAATACCATTTCTTCACCCTCTGCTCTGTCTCCACCTGGAGGTCTCCCAGGTCTCACTACACCCAGCAGTATGGAATCCAGGCTTTGACTGGCTTATTCCTGGGAGGGGTGACATGTAATAATTACAGACACATTTTGTCTTATGTATTCTCACTTTCCTTAATACGTAAAGATTTTGAATAATTTAGCCAGTTGACCAGTAAACATGAGTAAATATGAGTAAATACACAGTTAAAAAATAGAAATCAAGAAGGAAAATCTTCACCCTGAAATGAAGAGATCTTTGAGCTCAGATGTAATAGTCTTACGTTTCTGCCAAAACCTGATCATCTGAAACTTGATCTTTCATCTATTTAAAGTACTTCATCACTGGTCAGGAACTTTTATAGACTTCAGAGAATGAAAAGATTAAATATTAGACCTCAGAAGGAAGGAGCCAGGACAGTACGGATCACAGTGCTCACCAGCTGGTACAAAAGTCGTCCCTGAGAAGTCTGTGCAGATGAGCTGGGTGTGGCTTCACACTGGAGCCCTCGCCCTGTCAGCTGGTGCCTCCCTTCCTCCCTTCCTCTGCTAATTTCTCCTGTTGTCCCCCAAACCTCTTCAGTTGTGTGTGTGTGTGTGTGTGTGTGTGTGTGTGTGTGTGTATCCACATAATTGTCTTCCTCCTTCCCTCCCTCTCTTCCTTGTGTGTCTGTATGTGTGTGTGAGTGTGTGCGTGTGCGTGCTAGTTCTGGGGCTTGAACTCTGGGTCTTGTGTGTGTGTGTGTGTGTGCGTGCGTGTGCGCGCGCTAGTTCTGGGGCTTGAACTCTGGGTCTTGCACTAGCACTCAGCTTGTTTGCTTACCTGGCCTTTACCACTTGAACTACACTGCCAATCCTGCTTTTTGCTATTTAATAGAAGATAGAATCTTTCAGATTTGTCTGCCCAAGCTGGCTTTGAACCACAATCCTCCCAATCTCAGCCTAGCTGCTCAGCCTCCTGAGTAGCTAGGATTACAGGTGTGAGTCACTAATGCCCACCTTCAGTCAGGGACCTCTTTTTTTTTTTTTTTTTTTTTTTGGTTGGTCGTGGGGCTTGAACTCTGGACTTAGGTGCTGTCTTTGTGCTCTTCAGCTCAAGGCGAGTGCTCTACCACGTAAGCCACAGCGCCACTTCTGGTTTTCTAATGGTTTATTGGAGGTAAGAGTCTCATGTGGACTTTCCTGCCCGGGCTGGCTTTGAACCTCAATCCTCAGATCTTAGCCTCTGGAGTGGCTAGGATTACAGGCGTGAGCCACCAGTGCCCGGCAGTCAGGGACATCTTGATGTCAATTGCTTCATCCGTAAGGATTTGTTAATGATACTAACCAAAAAGAGACGACAACTGGTAATTTATTGACAGATGTTTTCCTTGGTAATTCATTGTTTACCATGTTTGTTTGGCACACTGTTTGCATTGTATTTTCCTACTCTCTTGCAGTGTGTGGCTGACTTCTGACTGCCCTATTCTACTTAGCTAGGCCTATGCCATCTTACTTGAGCTTTTCTTTGTGTCTTTTCTTTTTATTAAAATTAGCTTATATTAGTCACATAGGAGGAGGGATTTTATTGTTTTGTTTGTTTGTTTATTTTGGAGACAGAGTCTTGGTATATATCTCAATATATCCCATACAGGCCACAACTTTCATTCTTCCTGCTTTTGGATTATAGGCATGTGCCACGGTGCTAGGTCCTTCATGATTTCTATCCAGTAAAATGGATTTACAGTTTGTAAATCCCATAGTACTCCTTTTCTGGCTGTTTCATGAATTCAGCTTGATTGTAAGCCAATGTTTATTAGTCTTCAGGTAATCTTTGTGTAATGTAAGTAGAGAATCTTGGTCTCTGACCTTTTGAGATGTGTATTAATGGAATGTTCTGTATCCATAGGGTGTGGAATTTTTTGATGAAAAGCTGAATTCTTTATGTATGGCCTGGCTTGTGGACCATGGTGAGTAGATGACATAATAGATTACAGCGGGAAGCCCAGGGTTTCGCCAGGGTCCCACCATGTTCATCCTTTTCCTTTTAGGACGGAATTCTGGTAACGCTGTATGTTTCGCCTTTACAGTGCAGTGATGCTTTGAGTAAATTCCACATAGCTTTGTTTGACTACAGATTTCCCATAGTTTATATTTTATAAATCTGTTTTCTCCAGTAAGTGGCTTCTTTGCCCTCTTTCTTACTTATGCTGTTACTCTCTCTTCCTGTCTCTTTCGCTATGTACTTTTTTTCCTTTTGCTGGTGCTGGGGTCTGAACTCAGAGCCTGTGCTTCCTACTCAGGCATTGTACCACTGCCAACCCAATTTTGCTTTGGTTATTTTTGAGATAGGTTTACCACTTTACGCCCGGGCTGGCCTGTACTAAGATGCTTCCTTTTGTCAGTGGGTTGACTGGCAAGTTAGCTGCTGTTGTGCTCAGCCTTTGGTTGGGAGAGTCGTGTAAACGCACACTCCTAGGCTGGCCTTGTACAACTATCTCCCAGTCTCCACCTTCCATCGAGGCTTGAGTAAGGCCTGAGCCGCCGTGTCTGGCTCTTACTCTTTTACGTTAGGATCTTAAGCTTGCCATTGGTGTCAGGGTTGAAAAGGGATTGTAGTAGATGAAAGTCTTGATACAACTGCTGTTTAGTTGAAGATGGAGTCTTCAGATTCATCTGACCAGGCTGATTGGAGGAAAAGCCTGAGTGATTACTTAAAGCTGGGTGCCAGTAATCTTAGCCACTCTGGAGGCTGAGATCTAGGGATCTAGGTTTGAAGCCAACTCAGGCAGGACGACAGTGGTGAGATGCGGATCTCTAATTAACCACTAAAAAGCTTGTAGTAAAGTTGTGGCTCAAGCGGTAGAGCACCAGCCCTGAGTGAGAAAGCTAAAGGACAGCGCCTAGGCCTTGAGTTCAAGCCCAGTACTGACATACCTGCACACACACACAGAAATGGCTGCTTGGCGTTTTGAGGTGAACCATGGATGGAGTATGTTAGATGGTGATTTATGATTCTTAAGAGTGGGAGACAACAGGCATGTCCTGGTAGACAGGGCTGCTCTTCCCAGTTTTGGTGAATGGAAGGCTGACTGCTTATTTCTGACTGCTGCCGCCATGGTGTTAGTAGAGTGTGCACTCGGGACGCATCGGGTAGGACCACAGCAAGGAGCATGTGACTTTTCTGGGTGAGGTTCAGATAGATGCATGTGTGTATGTCCTCCTGCTTGCCAGACAGAAGTGGGTAGAGACGTACTCTTTGTGCCAGATCCCAGATCCAAACTTGGCAGCTTCAGTGTGACCTTAGACCTGTTCCATTGAGCGCCTTTGAGGTGTCATGTGACACTGTTGTCTGTGCTTTGGTTCCATGTTTTCGTGGGTCCTGTCTGAGTTCTACAATATTCTGTAAAAGCTGTATCTGAGTACTGGAAGCATCTCTGTATGTGCTGTATCTGAACACTGGATGTATCTCTGTATATGCTGTATCTATCTGAGCACTGGATACATCTCTGTATATGCTGTATCTAAGCACCTGATGTATCTCTGGATATGCTGCATTTAAGAACTGGATGCAGCTGGGCACTGGTGGCTCACGCCTGTAATCCTAGCTCCTCAGGAACCTGAGATCTGAGGATCGCGGTTCAAAGCCAGCCCTGGCAGGAGAGACTGTGAGACTCCTATCTCCAATAAACCACCAGAAAACCAGAAGTGGCGCTGTAGCTCAAGTGGTAGAGCGCTCGCCTTGAGCTGAAGAGCTGAGGGACAGCGCCCAGGCCCAGAGTTCAAGCCCCACGGCCGACAAAAAAAAAAAAAAAAAAAAAAGAACTGGATGCAGCCGGGTGCCGGTGGCTCACGCCTGTAATCCTAGCTCCTCAGGAACCTGAGATCTGAGGATCACGGTTCAAAGCCTGCCCAGGCAGGAAAGTCCACGTGAGACTCTTATCTCTAATAAACCACTAGAAAACCAGAAGTGGCACTGTGGCTTAAGTAGTAGAGCACACACCTTGAGCTGGAGAGTGCAGGGACAGCGCCCAAGCCCCATGACTGACCAAAAAAAAAAAAAAAAAAAGAACTGGATGCAAAACAAAACAAAACTGGATGCATCTCTGTATATTTCTTCTGAACATACTTACGGTTGGATATTTGGGAGGAGTCAGATAACAAATGTGTTAAATTACAGGAAAAACTTTCCTTTAAAGGGTGTTTAAAATTAATGTATTTCTGATAAATATTTATTGACAGTGGGAATGTCATAACAGATCATTCTATACTTGAACTGACACTGGATTAAGGCAGGACTTTTTTGTTGTTGTTCTGGCCAGTTTCAGGGCTTGAACTTAGGACCTTATGCTGTTGGTTAGCTTTTTCCATTGAGGCTGGTATTCTACCATTTGAGCCACACCTCCATGTGCAGCTTTTTTGCTAGTTAATTGGAGATAAGACTTTTTCAGATTTGTCTTTGTAGATTGGTTTTGAACCTTGATTCTCAGACCTCAGCCTCCTCAGTTAACTAGGGTTACAGGCGTGAGCCACCAGTGCCTGGCTTAAGGCAGTTTTAAAAGTTCTTCTGTTCCACTAAGAATTTAAAGAATTTAATTCCTGATGCTCATTTTATCTAGGCTTGCTTTTCATTTGTTATTTTTCTCTGATCCTTGTTTGCTGAAGCAGTATACTAAAGTGGGGGTGGATCTCATTCTTTGATTCTAAAAATGGGGAATTCTGCAGTTGTTCTGTGACTCACAAGGGTTTTCTGTTGCTTTGCTTTTGCATTTTATTCAGTGTTTTTAGTGTGCTTTATAACATGACAAAATGCTGCCTTTACATTTTAGGAAAGTGTTACGTAGTGATCACTGATATATATATATATATATATATATATATATATATACATATATATATATATATATATATAGTTGTTTTTGTTTGTTTGTTTTTTTTTTGGGTCTGGTCGTGGGGCCTGAATTCTGGGCCTGGACGCTGTCCCTCAGCTCTTCAGCTCAAGGCTAGCACTCTACCACTTGAGCCACAGCGCCACTTCTGGCTTTTTTCTTTTTGCTTATGTGGTGCTGAGGAATTGAACCCAGGGCCTGAGGCATGCAAGGCAAGTGCTCTACCACTGAGCCACCTTCCCAGCCCCTGATGAGTTATATTTTGAAACATTTTTTTCCCCTGGTAATTGAGCTATAACTGTGACCCCTCTGTACATCACCTTTACAATAAAATAAAATAAAACAAGAATATTGTAGGCTGGATGCTGGTGGCTCATGCCTGTAATCCTAATTACTCAGGAGGTTGAGATCTGAGGATTGATGTTCCTTAAGGAAAGTCCATTAGAATCTTATCTTCAATGAACTACCAGAAAACCAGAAGTGGTGCTGTGGCTCAAACTAGTTAGAGAGCTAGCCTTGAGCAAAAGAACTCACAGATAGCACCCAGGTCCTGAGTTCAAGCCTCATAACCGACCAAAAAAAAAAGCAATATTGTTAAAAAAAAAAACAACAAAATTCCAGAGAAAGACTGACTTACGGATGTTTGTGTGATTGAGTGGACATTTTTTTGATCAGAGGGGCCAGCTTTAAGGTTGATTGTAGCTCAGTGCTAGAATGCTGGTGTAGCACACTAAGTGCCTGAGGTTTGACGCCCCAGCACTAGGAGAGAGGGAAGGTCATGGAGAGTGAAGAGCCAGGGCTCAGAAGGCGGGAGCTTATCCCACACTAGGCAAGTACTCTGCCACTGAATTTTATCACTAGCCTGGGGAGTTCCTTTTTGCAGAAGAAAAAAGAAAGTAAAGGTTGAGGAGCGTAGAGAGACATTTAAAGAACCCTTCACTGCTTAGTCTGACCTGGGGGTGGGGGAGGAGAACGGGAGAGAATGCACTCGCGTGTGGGAGACACAGGCAGACAGACGAAACAGGGAGAGAAAACAGGCAGAGCTGTGGGGTGGTTTGCATTCTTCTGACAACAGAATTGAGAGGAGCCAAGAACATAGTAGGCAACTGGCCAACTGTGGAGATGAGTGCAGTTAAGGTCTTGGTCCAGGCTGAGCGTGTGCGTGCTCAGACTCTGGTTCCTCTGGCAATGGGATCCCTTCCTATCAGAATGACATTATGGTGAGAAAAGACTTGGGCATATTAAAGCACATTAATTAGAGGAAACACACAGATGCTCTGGTTAGCTCCACCGTGGAGGGAAGAGCGTAGGAGGGTTTGGGCTGTCATGCTGGTGATGGGGGGGGCTTGCACAGCTCACTGCTTGGAGAATGCTTTCGGGCATTCCCGATGGAGATCGGTGGCTTCTGGAGATTTTGTTCTTGTCGGAATTGATAGTAAATTGTATAGTTACTGGTCTTAGCTGTTTTACTTGTTCTTAATGTTAATGCTCTGAAGGTTCTATGGGCTGGGAAAGTTGGCTATTTCTGGTCTAACAGCTTATTTAGGTTGCTGTGATTGGGGCCCTATTAGGGTGGCATTTCTGCCCTTCCTTGAGCATTGGAGCTGCAAGGTGAGAGGTGAAATAAACCATCAACACCTACCACCCTTGACTTGTCACCCCTGTCCAAATTTTGGGTCTTTCTGGGTCTGCAAAATGATGTGATAAAGGCCTGATTTTGTTAGAGATGATGTAGCAACGTATTTTGAGAGGATAGTAGCTTAGACCTTTATGATTGGTATTTATAACCATTTTGTGTAGAATTACTAGATATTTAGGTAGGTGTTTGTTTACAGAAGACATCTGCTATCTTAGTACCTACACATTTTTAATGCAAAAGGAACAAGTTGGTCTTACATTTTATTTGTGTGTGTGTGTGCACGCGCGCGCGTGTTCATGCGTGCATGCATGCATATGCTGGGACTGGGGCTTAAACTCAGAGCCTGAGTGCTGTCTCTGAGCTTTTGTGCTCAAGGCTAGCACTCTGCCATTTGAACTGCACCCTCACTTCTGTTTTTTGGGTGCTTAATTGGGGATAAGAGTCTCATAGACTTTCCTGCTGGGGCTGACTTTGAACTTGATCCTCAGATTTCAGCCTTAGCTAGAATGATAGGCATGAGCCACTGGTGCCTGGCTTATGTGTGTGTTGAATTCTTCTCTCAGCTATTCTCTTTGACACACCTGCCATTTAGATACCAAGAATACTGAGTTATTGACTCCAATAATACTGGATTTAGTTACCAGTAGTACCAGTGGTGTAATAATCTAAAATACCCACTGGATATCATGTCACAAGCTTGCTTTAAAAAATTCATCTAAGGGAGGTGAAGGGTAAACAAAGGAGGAGGCTGCAATGCTTGGTAAGAAATGTATGCATTTTCCTGCCCATGTAATTGTAACCCCTCTGTACAGTATGTTTTCAAATAAAATAAAATAAAATAAAATAAAAAAAAATTCATCTGACCCATCATTGCTTTCCTTATCAAGCCTAACTGTAGCTTTCAAAATGCCTTGTGGTCCGGCCCACTGTAACTAACCGCTGCGTCACACAGGTTTCTCGCATTTTCCTTTATGTCTTGGGAACATTTCTTTTTCTTCCCCTCTTCTCTCCACTATCACACGCCCTCCATAATTCTAATCTCAGCACCCACTACAGCGCGTCTCCCCTCAGCTTCCTCACCTCCCCGGTCCCTCGTCCCTACGCTCCTCAGCCCGCACCGCCACACTTCACTATCACCAGTCTTATTCTACGGGACTTCTTGGAGTCTGATAAAAAAGTTATGGCTGAGGGAGCGTGGAGGAAGGGGTGACATTGTCCAAACTCTTTATTCTTATATAACCGTAACCCCTCTGTATTTCACCTTTACAGTAACTTTTACAAAAAAAGAGGCATGGTATGGGTGTTTTCTTTCTGTAACACATAATACCTCTTAGGCACTTGTATTTGGTAATATTTGAGTATGTGTACAAATGAGCTCTTGGTGTCTCTTTCCTTGACATACACATTTTGAAAGTATTATGAGAGCTAATCAGTATGAGTTGTAGCAAGGGGCATGTTCACAGAGGTTTTGTTTTGGCCCATATTTGATGTCAGTGTAAGCAAATGCAATGTGGCTGCGCTGATAAAGTCAGTCATATAAGGTGTTTTTGACTTCCTTCTGCAGTGTATGCCATCCGGGAAGCAGCTACCAATAACCTCATGAAATTAGTTCAGAAGTTTGGTACAGAGTGGGCCCAAAATACCATCGTTCCTAAAGTGTTAGTAATGGCGAATGACCCCAATTACTTACATAGGATGACCACTCTATTCTGCATTAATGTGAGTATTATATCCCTGTTCTTGATAAGTTTGGGCATTAAAGCAATAATAAGGGTATCATTTACATGTCTGTATTTCTGTTTGAATGTACTAACTTCTGTTTTGGATATATGTACTATATGGATTAATGTGGACAATTTAGGAGCTGAGAGAAAAGGCTGATTTTTAAATTCCTGCTAAAATTGGGTGGTAGTGGTTGAGAAGCTGCTATGTAGTATGAGTCCTTGTGGAGTTTTCCGGCCTTTTGTCCTTGTGTGCCTCATGCTAGAAACAATTTCTTGTCAGAAATGTTATTATTTGTCTCACTCAATTTTGGATTTTTTTCTCTTAAATGTGCCACCATGTTTATTTTCTAGGCGCTGGCAGAAGCCTGTGGTCGGGAAATAACTACCAAGCAAATGCTGCCCATCGTCTTAAAAATGGCAGGAGACCAAGTGGCAAATGTTCGTTTCAATGTAGCCAAATCACTCCAAAAGATTGGACCAATTCTAGATGCTAAGTAAGATTGCAGTATTTTTATTTTAAAAGTATATTTTAATACCTTGTAGTTGGGAATAATGGCTTAAACGAAGCTCATTGACTGTTACTTTACCTAAAATATGGACTTCTCTAAAGAAAGTAATTTAGCTATCATTTTTCGGAGTGTGCACTGTGACTTTTTTTTTTTTTTTGGTCAGTCATGGGGCTTGACCTCTGGGCCTGAGCACTGTCCCTCAGCTCTTCAGGTCAAGGCTAGGGCTCTACCACTAGAGCCACAGCGCCACTTCCGGTTTTCTGGTGGTTTATTGGAGATAGGCGTTTCACACCTTTTCCTGCCCTGGCTGGCTTTGAACCGAAGTCTTCAGATCTCAGCCTCCTGAGTAGCTAGGATTACAGGCGTGAGCCACCGGCACCTGGCTTTGCACTCTGACTTTTGTATATACATTCTATATATGCATAGATGACGGAAGCCAGTTTTACTGATCCTAAGTATTAGAGAATGTTTTTTACTTTAACCTTTAAAAATCACCCCGGGGCTCCCCGGATTGTTTCACAGATACTACTTTTGCATGTTAGTGCTTTGCAGGGAGAAGTGAAGCCGGTGCTGCAGAAGTTAGGTCAGGATGAAGACATGGACGTCAAGTACTTTGCACAGGAAGCTATAAGCGGTATGTGTTTCTGCCTTCATGTCAGTGGGGTTTGGGGAAGGAGGAGGTTGAAGTGACTGGCAGCATCGAGGGTGCTAAGTGCTTGGGATGCCGAGCTCCCTCTTCGGTTGGAACTTTCTTGGTCTTCCATGCGGCCCTAGGTGAACAGGCCATTTTCTCAGTTCCCTGTCTAGGACTGAGTGGGGTTATGATTCTCATTGGTAGGAACAGTTTTCAGTTTGGACTTTCACTTAGTCTTTCAAGTTTAACTTATGATTAGCCTGGGAGAACGAAAGGACAGACCACAGCCATAGGAAGAAATTGACTACGATGAGAAGGTCTTGCTCTCATGTTGTTGGATCATTGTTAGATGCTGAAAATTCATCCAGCATTCTTGAGCTTTCTGTACCACTAACCTTGATTTTGTTTGGAATTTTCCAGTTCTGGCGTTGGCATAATGAACAACAAGAGGGAAAAGCCTTTACTAAATAATTATCACAGATTTCTAGTCAATGTGTTCTTAACCTGGGAGGAGAAAAAAATGGAAAACCTTCAAGATCTCTTCCAAGCAAATGGCAACAACATAGAAGAAATCAAACTCCAGTAACTTTCTAAAGATGAAATGAGATTGTTTTTATTCATCTCTTTGTTGGGATAATTATTTCAGGATTTCCTATTGACTGATACTTCCTAATTCCTGATAGCACAGTCAGCTCGTGATTGTCTCTTAAAGATTTTTCCTGCACTGTTGGGCTCTTGCCTCCTTGCTTCTGGATCAAGCCCCAGCCGCTTCCCGTCCAGAGCAAAGTCTGGATGGGTGTGCACGCAGACTTGGAGCGGGGTGATTCTCCTGTTGTTTACATAGGTCTGTGTGAGCTTCTCCATCATTCCAAAGTTAAACGTAAATGGTTTAGGATAACTTATTTTATAAATTCTCTATTGGGGGATATATCGAGATGTCACTGTAATGAAAACCACGTTTTCCTGGGTTCTGATGGGCTGCTCCAGTGTCTCACAGGAAAGGGGAGTGTGGAAACTCAGGGTTAACATGTTGGTTGATCTGCTTTGTATTTGCTTGATTTCGTCTGTAATCATGACATTGAGAAACTTGAAGTGTTGGATGTATCTTGCTGCTAATGTGTGACGTTGACACCTAACCATTTCAATGGCTTGCCATTGTGACTGCCGTAAATTCTCTCTTCTCTTCTGAGGAGCTTCCACCGTGGTCCTCCTACAGCGCAGTAGTTGTACTGTCCTACAGCTGCAGGACTGCAGTTCGTCTTTGGAATGAGTGTTGGACCCCACCACCCCACCTTGCGGGTTTCCCAGACTGCCCGGTCTGCCCCCCACAGTGCGGATGTCACGCTCCAACTCAGGTTTCGTTGCTAATTTTTTGGTACGGGTGATGCTGGAATCTTATTTGAAGTGTTTACTTTTCTACTTTTACAGTAAAACCTCATTAATTCCTCCTGGAATTTAAGGTAGTAAGTTGGGCTAAAGGATTCGCTGAAGCAAATGAATAGCCTGCAAGAAGCCTGTTCATACACGTCACCAGTTTTAAAACTCGCGTGTCATTTGCCAGCAGACATGCAGCTCCCACGCAGTTACTTGCAGTTACTTCACATGCTTCCCTGGGGGTCTCTAAGAGCTCCCATGTTTTTTTTTGCTGAAGACTGTGCTTTTTAATCCTTGAAATATATGCATTTATATTTCATGAGAGTTTATGTTTCTTGCAAATAAACGCGTTTTTCACCTAATCAAACTGTGTGGCTAACAAATTCTAGTTAATGAGGTCTTACTATAGTATAGTTTTCTCTCAGTGCTTCTTGTTTTGTAGTTGGGTGTTAGTTACTGTTTTGGTTTTGGAATTCATTTCATTTACTGCCTCTTTTAAATCAACTAAGCTCTGTTTTGTTTTGTGAAGGTCCAAAGACACCTATATAACTTATTAAACAATTATATAAACTGAATTTGAGTAAATGCTTTCAATTTTGTTTTACCTTAGAAAAACAGAACAAAATATAAATTAGAAATGATCAGCCTGCATTGTAAACGTAAATTGCCTGTAGTTAGGTGGCTCACGCCTGTCATCCTAGTGACTCAGGAGGCTGAGCGCTGAGAGCTGTGGTTCAAAGGCAGCCCGGGCAGAAGAGTCCCCATGAGACTCTTAGCTACAATTACCCACTCAAAAACTAGAAGTGGGGCTCTGTGGCTCAAGTGGTACAGCACTAGCCTTGAGCACAAAGAGGTTCAGGGACAGTGCCCAGGTCCTGAGTTCAAGCCCCAGGACAGGCAAAAAAAAAAAAAGTTTCTACATTTTCATTTTACTGTCTCAAACTGTTATGTTACAAACACTTTTAGTTTTTTTTGTTTTGTTTTTGTTTTTTGGTCGGTTGTAGGGCTTGAACTCTGGGCTTGGCGCTGTCTCTTAGCTCTTTGGCTCAAGGCGAGCGTTCTACCACTTGAGCTACAGCGCCACTTCAGGTTTTCTGGTGGTTTATTGGAGATAGGAGTCTCATGGTCTTTCCTGCCCGGGCTGGCTTTGAACCGAGATCCTCAGATCTCAGCCTCATGAGTAGCTAGGATTATAGGCGTGAGCCATGGGCACCCGGCACATTTTTAGTTTTATGAGTGTTTATGACCTACATGTTTGCTCTCATTGAAATTCGTATTTGAGAGACTTGTGTAGAATTTTGAAAGAAACTGGCATTGGAGCCCTTGTGCTCATCTGATACCACACTAGTTTGTGGATAAACTCCGTTGCCCTTGGGCCCCTCCCCAAGCTATATGCATTTACTTTCCTACCCTGAGACTAAAAGGGAGAGAGTGCAGGCTTGCTTCCTCAAATGTGGACCCCTAAGGGACTTCATTATTTCTTTCTGACTTAAGTAGGAACCCCCTTTTATTCCTCCCCAGAGGAATTGCTCTTTGCCTCCTAATATGGGCATTCTGAAAATGTGTATTTTTCCTGTACTGATTTCACCAGTCCTCTAAAGGCAAGGGTTTCTTTTCGTGCTCTATCACCAGTGATGGTGTACAAAGTAGGTGCTCAGTAAAATGTTTGCGGATGAGTTGCATGTGTGGAACAGAGTCATAAAGAGACTGAATTATCTCCTACCACTGACACAGATTTTTCTGCTCTTAGGAAATAAGCTTTCTGTGGCTCTCTGCCAGTCCCTGGCTTAGGCAAGAGTTCCTTGTGGATTTGTTCGATTGCCTTCCTTGAACACACATTGCTGCTGTCTTTGATCCTGGCCAGTTTGTACCCATTGTTTGGTTTATTAGGAAAGAGAAGCATGGATATACACACATTTGGCCTAAGCCAATAAGGTTTCCTGAGCAGTGGGATTTACCTAAGCGATTCTACATGCATATGGGGTCTACCTCTCCTGGGCTTAAGAGATGAGATCTGATCTCGGACTGTACTGCTCTGGAGATAAGAACCTGAAGGTGCATCCTGTTTCCTAAGAATAAGCAGATCCACGTGTGGTTTTGAATGAGGCCTCTGGAAGTGAAGGCAGCCCTCAGCTCCCGGAAGTTGCACAGCTTGGCCCCTGTGGTCCAGGCCCTGGGGGTCTCTGCAGGACACCTTGTCCCGACTCAGCGGTCTGACCTTTGAGCTGTCTTGTCCAAGCACCCAGGATGCTTGCACAGATCTCTGCGGGACCTCCGCCATTCCTGACCCCCTGGTTCCAGTCAGGGCCTGTGGCTCTGTGCTGTGCCTCACATGAGGCCATGTATTGGAGTGAACCGCAAGCCTGGTATTTCCTTGTAGAAATCGCATTGGTTCCATGCCCACAGGGATGCAGGGCAGGGTGGCCAAACAAGTTTGGGTGCCGTCCTGCTTAACTCCTCCAGCACTGTTCTTTTGGCACCCTTACTGTACAGTCTGATAGAAAACAGACAGGAAGGCCCAGATGCCTAGAGCCCTTGTCTACCAGGAAGCGACTGTCTTGCTGTGCTTCTGCGCCCTTTCCACCCCGTGCCCCTTTCCCAGCTTCTCTGCCTGCTGCGGTCTAGTGCCCATTCCTCGGGTGCTGCCTCCGGTGCCGCTGCTTCTAGGAAATGACATGGTGTGCAGCTGAGATGGAGATCTGGAGGATGAAGAGTTCGGTTACTCACTGGAGAACAAAGCCAAGGAATCGCTCTTCCCAGTTGTCTGAATCTTTTCTGTCTGTTCAGGGCTCTAGACAGTCAGTGATCAAGATGTGGGGGTCCCCGCAGTGGATGCTTCCCAGGGAAAAGCATCTGAAGCCAGACCCCAGAGAGCTGGCTTTCCCTGCCCAGACCCCCCCCCCCCAACCTCATAGCTAGGGCTTCCCATCTGATGCCAGTGCGGTCAGGGCTGTCCAGCATCACAGAGGTTTGGGTGGACTTGGGGTGGGGTGGGGGGTGATCTGTTCAGGGACGGCCGCAGGGCTGCTTCTGCATCTTCAGTGGAGGCGTAGGGGCTGAGGAAGCCAGATCTGCCTGTGGAGGACAGTGTGGCGCCCGGTGCCCCTTGGGGCTGACCCGAGTGACTTTCTGAGACTTACAGGGCTTGGAAAGGACCCTGGGAAGGTGAAGTGCTCCAAAAACCTGGGGTTCAGGGAGCCAAAGTGACCTGGGGATCATGGCAGGAGGGGGCACAGAGGTGGGTATTTCCAGCTCTGTCCTGGGGCGCAGCTGACATCCAGGGCTTGTTTTGGGGTGAGTGACTTGCTCTCCTGAGCTCTGTCACCTGAGGCCTGAGGTCTATCAAGCCCCTCCCCCAGCAGTCAGCCCTGGTGGACTGGAGGGTTGTGGTCGTGGATGGGGTGTTCCACTTCCTCCCAGGCTGGAATGTTTCTGGCAGTTCTCCCTAGTCATTTCCATTCCAGCTACGAGTCCTATCTGTGTCACCGAGCTTTACCAGCGCGAGGATGCAAAATCTGCGCTGAGCAGTTGGTGTGGGCCAGGGCCATCAGCAGAGGGCTCCTTTAGAGGCCTTGGAAATAAATGCACAGGCCCTTGGATGCCGTGGTGCATCAGACCACATTTTACTGGGATGAAATTAACTTGCATTCTCACATCCACCCTGGTGGGCTGGCTGGGTGGGAAAAAAAAAAGTGTAGCCTTTTACATCTCCCTGTGTGGGGCTGGAGTTCATGCGCTTTTCCTGTCCTACAGGGCCTGAGCAACAGGCATTTTCACCTCGTGTCTAGCTTTCCCGTGCGTAGGGCCTGAGCCGCGGCCAGGCCTGTGCGGTGGAGGCAGCCCTGGGTGTCATGCGCGTTGTGCCTTGGGCTCAGCTTAGGCCTCAGCAGACACACACACACACACACACACACACAGACGCACACACACACAGACGCACACGCACACACACACAGACGCACACGCACACGGGCACAGGTCCCAGCTGCCAGCGCTTCTCGTATGTCCACTGCCTTGACCTTCCTGGAGGAAAGAGACCTTGGCTAAAGGAGAATACCTTCGTTTCTAGGTAGGCCTAACTCACAAGAGGTTTTAGGGAGGAAAGAAGTTACGTTTTCCTCCCAATTCGGGGCCATTAAAAAAGCGCGGGGCAGCTGAGGCGGCTCGGACAGCCCGGGCTGCCGCTCCTTGCCAAGCCCTCAGCCAAAGCTCGTTTAATCCTTAACCTTGAGGCGCATGGCTTTCCAAGTTTCAGGTGCTCATGAACCTCCCCTAGAAGCCAGCCACGCTAGCTCCCCCGAGAACGGGGTTCACGGATGACAGAAAAATCCCCTGGCCGGTGACTCGGGCGCCTTCCCTGCATTTGTTTCTCTGAAGGAAAACAACCCGGGGGTGCTGCAAAGACAGTTCGTCCGTTGCCAGGCAGAGCCTTGTGTGTCAGGGGCCGCGGGTGGCGGAGTCAGTGATCCAGGAAGTCATCCCGTTGCAAAGCCGCCTCTCGTTAACCCCTCTCCGGCTGCAGTGCTCTGCGGGCTGCAGCGTGTCCGCATGCTGTGACTGTGGGACTCGGCCTCAGGGTCCTGGGAGCCAGCTGACGGACATCCCAGGGGCAAGCGCCCGCTCCTCGTGCTGCACGCGTCTCCTCCAAAGTCTGCTGAGGCTCTCTGGACTCGACGCATGCGCCCCCGCGCAGGACCTGCTGAAGGCCCGCAGGAGCCACCTCTCACCCCCGGCCACCGGCCACTGTCATCAGCTCAGCCCAGCTCAGCTCGGCCCAGCTCAGCTCCTGCCTCCCAGGCCCTCCGCAGGTGTTTCTCCCGGGCAGCTGCCGGCAGGCCTCAGTCAAGGGAGAGTTAACCCTGGATTTGTTTATGGAATCACAAAGTAGCTGTCACATGATTTTAATCAAAACACCATTTCCCTGACAACAGTGATGTCAGTCTTGTTATTGCAGGAAGGAGCAGCTGGGAGCCCAGGTTTGGAGAGTCAAGTGAAGCATCCATAAATAATGGCAGCAGACGCACTGCGGGCTCACGGGATCCACCCTCCTCTTCCTTTTCTTCGCTCTGGACAGTGTGTCCTGTACAGATGTTGACCAGAACCCAGCCTCGGCGCTGACTTTTAACTTTCTTATCCCTTGCTTTACTGCTGCTTGGTTCTGTTTTTTCCATTTTCCTCCAAACTCAGTCCCTGGAGGCCCTGCCTGTGCCCTGCTGGCAGCTGTCCCCTCTCTAGGATCTGGACCCACTTGCTGCAGATTTGGTGGTTGTGGCTAGCTTCGGCTGGGGCCACTCTGCCCAAGCACCTGGCTTGTTCCCCAGATCAGGGGGTGGACATGTGCTCTTAAAGTGCCAGGAGGAATTCTGAAGAGCTCAGCTCTGGAGGCCCCAAGGGCCGAGCCTCAGCCCGGGCACTGGTGCTGTTGAGCCTGGAAGACAAATGAAGGGCCCATTCTAGTCAGGACAGGGAGCAGAGGCCAAGGGAAGTTCAAAGTCGCTCCTCTCCTGCCCCTCGTCTCCAGCTCAGGGAATTGGACCTCAAAGGCCACCCAGAGGTCTAGCCTGGTCTCACGGCCAGCTGGAGCAGTGTCCTCAAAGCTGTGGCCTGCTGTCTGTCCCTCTCCATGGGGACTAGAGCAGGCTCTGCACAGAAGACTCACTAGGCACCCAAGTCTTTGACCTACAACTTGGGAGACTAAAAAGGCTTTCTAGGTGGGATATAGCGTCCTTGATCATGCCGGGGGATTCCCTGAATCCATCTCCCCAGACCCAGAAATCCCAGGGCAAAGGTTTTGTGGCTTAACCTGCAGCAAGAGGTCACACAGTAGGGCTGCTACCCTAAAACTGCAAGGGAGTGATTTCACAAGTCCCACACAACCTGCTTCTGGCTCAGAGTTGAAGCAAGACAGCAGGATGGTTAGTTACAGGCCGCCGAGGGCAGCTAGTGCTCGGGGTGTTTTTGCGATAGCTCAGTGCCATGCCAGGCTGTGTTGGACTTCCTGAGGCTGGAGCTGGGCCTGCTATTCTGTTCCTGTCACCCTAGGAGACTGGGCCTTTCTCAAGTGCTTTGCCTGGGTCAGTGGCTGGGCTGAGCGCCATCCCAGGGCTTGAGGACTCCCCCAGGGCTTCTTTGTGACCTCCTGGATGTCCTGGCAGGGACTGGATGGGCACCGCCCTCCTGGAGTGCCTTCCTGGCAGAGCGGCTGTTGTCTCCGGCCTCGCTCGCTGCTGGCCTTTCATCTCCGAGGCCCTCCGGCTGCCTGCCCACCCTTTGGCTCCCATTCTACTAACAATGTAGGTTTCTATCATGACCAAAGGCAGGTCCAGGAGGTCCCCGCCTGGCCAGAGGCAGGCCTGAAATGGGGCCTTCACGTGGCGTGCTGGGAGGAAGGGCTTGGGGGCTTTTGCTTAATCCACCCTCTGCTCCACCCCAGCCCCCACAGTGTGAGCGTTCCCAGGCATCTCAGGCCCCCATTAGTCGGTCTTTGGGGAATGAGGAGGAAAGGCTGAGTCAGAAGCGTTCAGGGCCTGTGTGAGGAGGAGGGTGACTCAGTTCTCCCTCAGAGAGCCAGACGCCTTCATGCCTGTCTCTGCATCGTCCGCCCAGCCAGCTCGGGGCCGGCTGCAGCACGAGCGACCTCCATGCAGGCTTCCTTCCTTTCCAGGCCCAAGGCTGCTGCTACCCAGGCTTGTCACCTCTCTCGGCCAATCTCAGGAGCGCGTGGTCAGCTGTCTCGGGCTCGCTGTGTGGAGGAGACGCAGCAGCGTCCTCTCTGGGCGTCTGCGGGGCGCCGAGGGCTCGGGCGCACGGGCAGCCTGGGCTGTCCGCCGCAGGAAGGCCGCCGGTGCTCTACTCCGCCTGACCACGGGCGCGGCCTCGGCGCTCTGCAGCGCTCGCTTCGTCCCCACGGCGGTTCAGTGTCCGAGGTGAGGGTGCAGCCCGCGCAGTGTGGTCGCGGGTCTTCTGGGATGGGGCGTTCCCTGGAGGGCGGCGTGGCCCCTGACGCCTCCGGCTGGCGTGGGGAGGGCTGGCGTGGGGAGGGCAGGGCCGCCCCCAGGCGGGGCAGCGGCTGGCGTGGGGAGGGCTGGCGTGGGGAGGGCTGGCGTGGGGAGGGCAGGGCCGCCCCCAGGCGGGGCGGCTGAGCGCTGACCGCGCGCGCAGCCCTGCCGCAAGCCGCGGCTCCTCCCCGGCCGGCCACTCAGGGAGCGGTGGCCGAGTCCTGGGTAGGGAGGGGCCCCGGGAGACTGGGTCACTCACACGCGTGGAGGCTAGGGAGCCCAGGCTGCCTCTCTGGGAATCGCCTATCCCAGGCCAGCGCGTGTGAAGGTGTTTTTGGGGGGAGGGCGGGAGGACGGGGTGGAGGAAGAGTCCAGAGGTTTCTAAGGCCTCCGTGGGAGAGCTGGTAGGGCAGAAGAAAGCAGCTCCTTGGGCCACGGAGTCAGCGCCCGCGGGAGGGTGGGCAGTGCTGCTGGCGGCTGGCGCTGCGGCCTCTGCTGTCCCTCGCCGCGTGGAGCCCGTGGCAGAGGCCGCCGAGGCGGAGCGGGCGGCTTGCTGTGCGGCCTGCCGTGCGGCCTGCTGTGCGGCCTGCTCGTGTGGCCTGCTGTGCGGCCTGCTCGTGTGGCTTGCTGTGCGGCCTGCTCGTGTGGCTTGCTGTGCAGGTTGCTTGTGTGGCCTGCTCGTGTGGCTTGCTGTGCGGCCTGCTCGTGCAGCCTGCTTGTGTGGCTTGCTGTGCGGCCTGCTCGTGTGGCTTGCTGTGCGGCCTGCTCGTGTGGCTTGCTGTGCGGCCTGCTCGTGTGGCTTGCTGTGCGGCCTGCTCGTGTGGCTTGCTGTGCAGGTTGCTTGTGTGGACTGCTCGTGTGGCTTGCTGTGCGGCTTGCTTGTGTGGCCTGCTTGTGCGGCTTGCTGTGCGGCCTGCTCCTGCGGCTTGCTTGGCTGCAGAACCGGCCCGCCTGTTGTTCTTGCCTATACTCTGGGGCACTGGGCTTGGTTTTGGCAACACATGAAGATGATGAGGAAATTCAGTGGGAAAGGAGAAAGCTTGCAAAACAGTGACTGGAATGAGCTGTTTTCTTTTTTTTTTTGGGGGGGGGGTGGTGGTGGTGGTGCTGGTTCTGTGACTTGAACTCAGGACCTGAGTGCTGTCTCTTAACTTTTTTTTTTTGCTCAAGGCTAGCACTTGAGTCACAGCTCTACATTTGACTTTTTGGTAGTTAATTGGAGAAGAGTCTCATGGACTTTACTGCCTGGGCTGGCTTTGAACCATGATCCTTAGGTCTCAGCTTCCTGAGCAGTTAGGATTACAGGCACAAGACCAGGGCCCGGCTTGGAGGTGCTTTTCTTAAAAAACAAAACAACCCAAAGGCTGCTGAGGGGTCGGGAGCCATCGGGGGCCCCAGTGGGCTCGCTGTCTGCCTGGTGGTGAGAGGCGGCTGGGCAGCATGGCGTCCACAGCGAGGGCTCTGCTTGCCCGGCCCCACGCCGCCTGCCTGCGTCTACTCGCCCCGCAGCCCCGGCTTCCTCGGCCTGGGAACTGTCCCAGTTCTCTAACCCGGGCTCAGCAGAATGGTTTGAGTGAAACCAAATCTCAACTGAATTTGCTGCCAGAAAGCAGCTTAATCCCACCCTTCATGCTGGGTCTGGCCCTCAAGTTGAACGGATGTGAGCGGCCGGGCACAGGGACCTGAGGGCACGGGGAGCCTGTCTCAGGGACAAGCGGGGTGAGCAATGTGAGCCTCGGGCAGATCCTGGGAGAGAGGCGCTGCCGTCACTGAGCGGCAGCGTCCCGGCGGCCTTCCTGGCAGCTCGGAGCATCACCCCTCCCAGCCCTACCTGCAGCCCGGCAGCTGGCTGGCTGTGGGGGAGCTGCTCTTGTGGCCCAGGGTCCTTGCCCAGCCTACCTGGGCCAAGAGGCATTACTGAGGCCCAGGGGGCCCTGTCCGCACGGAGCTGTGGTCAGCAGTGCTTCTGTCAGCGATCTGCTGTGGCGTGCGTGTTCTCAGGCAATCCAGAGCAAGGTGTTATTTACCCTGCTGACGTCAATGAGAACATGTTATCCACTGTCCTTCCCTGCGGCCCGGAGCGAGCGCCAGCGCGCAAAGAACACAGGGGCCTTCCACAGCTTTCAACCCTACCCCAGCCCTGATCCTGCCGAGCCGGACGCGGCACCCCGCTCTGAGAAAAACAAGTTGTTTTTATTTTAATTCAAGAGGGTTGGAAACATAAAAGCAGTACATTTTCCTTGCAGAAAATTACCCCATTTAAATTACCATTTGGTACAAATATCATTTATTAAACTGTATTTGGAGACCATTTTCTAACATTGAGTGACAGTTTCCACTTTCATTCATTTGCACATTGGAGCTATTATGATTTGCACTCAAAACACCAAAGCTGTTGAATTCACCAGGTTTTTTTTTTGTTGTTGTTTTTTAGTCATTAAAAAAAAAACAGCACATAGAGAAAAGAACTACAATTCATTAGATGAAGTTTCTCAGCAGCGGCTCTCACAGATCCGACAGCCAGCGAGACCCCTTTCCTCCCAGACTCAAATACACTTGCCCTTCCTACAAAGTGCAACCATCTCCATCACTTTCATTTCTTAAATTGCAGTCCTCAAGATTAGCCAGCCTCCTTTGCTTTCTCCTTTCAGAGAGTGGTGGAGGCAGATTCCTCTCCCCCCACCCCCCCTCCAGTCCTGGAGCTTGAACTCTGGGCCTGGGCACTGTCCTTGAGTTTCTTTTGCTCAAGGCCAGTGCTCTACCACTTGAGCCACACTTCCATTTCTGGCATTTTGGGAGTAGTTTATTGGAGATAAGAATCTCACGGATTTTTCTGCCTGGGATGGTTTAGAACCATAATCCTCAAGTCTCAGCCTCCTCAGTAGCTAGGATTATAGGCATGAGCCACCAGTACCGGGCAAAATTTTTAATTAATTAATTAATTTTTACCTGGGGTAGTGGCTTGTTTCCTTGACTGAGTAAAGCCTGAACTGATGGATAGACCCCATACAACCAGTGGCAAGTCCCAGCTAACTGCATCTACTATGGGAACATCATTCCATCTGGTGTCATATTGTTCCAGAAAGTTCTAATGTACCTAAAGCTTCTCTCTACCTACTCAGTTTGACTCCTGGAGTATTCAATCAAAGCATGTTCTATTTTGTTTTAACCCTGAAAGTGTCTAATGCAGACTCCTTTGTGTGGGGCTTGACTGCAAAGGCACTGCTATGTCTCGGTCAGGATGCAGGTTGTCTGTGGTTCTGAGTGGCCTGCCCTGGGGTTGGGTCTGTGGACTTGATGATGTGGCTGTGCACCACGTGGCCCTGCTCTTACACCTCTAAAGGAAATCACTGTGTAACTTGGAACAAGGAAACATACAATGGGAACCTAAACTGTAGATTATTGGACGGGGCCGGGGGGGGGGGGGGGGGGGGGAGACAAGTGGTTTTGTGGGGTCTGTGTCTCCCTCAGCTTCTCGAGTGCAAGGCCACCAGGACAGCCACTGTTGTCACCTGAGGCGCCCCTCCCTGCAGGCCCCACAGCTGCTGGTTGGAAGGTGCAGCTGTGTGGACAGCAGTCATTCTCCCAGTACCTGGCCACAATGGGGGCTTTGTGGATACAGCTGTTGGCTTATGGAAAGAGCCAGGTGTACGGAGCCAGATACAGCGGGAAGCCAGTCGACCCGGTGCTTTTCCTGACTTCCCTGCTGCGAGCGCTGGGCCTGGGCTAAGTGACCGCCCCTTCCCCGCGGAGCCCAGCTTTCCTCCGTGAACGGTAAGGACAGCACCTCCCGGCAAGTGTGTGAGGATGAGCAGAGGTTGGGGGGAAGGCGCTTAATGTAAGAATAGAAGCTACTGCTCCTTTTCGTGGACAAGTCAAATCTCCAGGCAGAAACCATGAAAAACGATCACTCGTGAAGTGTCTGGGCAGCTGCGTTTCTAGTCTGTGTAATAGTATGTGTGTGAAGCTGCCAACTGTGTTAAAATCGGATCAGGTATGGAGAGGAGATAGTGGTACAACTAGCATGGCTAGGGGTCTAGAGTCAGCCAGGCTGCAGGTGACAGGGAGCGGAGCTGCCAGGGCCAAACGGGCGCTGGAAGGCCGCTGCCGCGCCGTCTGGCCTGTCGGGAGGTCGGGACACCGAGTGTGGAGGTGTACGTACTGTGCAGATGTTTCTGCTCCTGCATCCCACAAGTCACTCGGAAGATAACTTCTGCAAAAAACACCCCCAAACCAAAAGAACTCCCAAAGAACAATTTCCAGAAACAACCAAATTCTCAAAGACCCTGCCTGTGCCGCCTGTGACTACCTGTTCTTCAGTCTTGACCTCTGACACCTAGGCCCCAGGAGACTGCGCAGCTGGGGTGACTGACGAGGAGGGGGCTCAATGTAGGGGAACGAGTGCAGCCAAGGGTAGCGATGGGCTCCACACCTGCTCTGTTCATGGGGCCAATGACACTGCGGCTGTCTCTAACGAGGAGGAATGGGAGGGAGTTCTCTGGAGTGGGAATTTTCTTTGAGACAGGAGGATATTAAGCGTCACTGTTGGTACGAATTTTACTGTCATGGAGGGCAGCGCGGCCAGCCAGCTCCAGGCCTGTGTGACGTGGCGAGGCCTGCGCAGGCGCGGCTCACCTGCCTTAGGTCGCTGGCGCGTCGGCTCCGCACACGCACACCGGGGCCCCTGGAAGCTGCTGCTTCCCACTTTCCTGCAGTTTCTGGCTCCTCACCAAGTGCTCCTCTTCTGGGAACACACCCTTCTCCTCAGTTCCTAGAGCCAGGGGTGGGAGGGCTCTAATTTGCCCTGCCTTAGGGATAAGGACACCAGGACCTGGGCGATGGGGAGCGGGGAGCCCTGCTGGTTGGGGTGGGCAGGGTGGGGTGCAGGTCAGGAGGAGGCTGAGTGGAGGGGCTCCAGTCCCATCTCCCTGCCGCTGGCATGCGGAACTGGCATGTGAGGAAGAGGTCTGAGCAGAAGAGGGGCTCTTGCTCACGACCAGCGGACAGTCCTGCAGCCATAGCTCTAGCCCCCCTGGGGGCCCTGGATCCCTCTCGGGTGGGTGTGCAGAGTTGGCGCAGACGGCAGGCTCCTCCCTGTGCAGGGTGGCACGGGGCGGGCTCCGTGTGGCTTTCAGGGACGCAGATCAGTTGCATGTGAATACCGGCGCTCGCTCGCCCTGCTGGGAATTGCTCAATGACTGCATTTCCCCAGAGCACAGAGGAATACCCTTGGACTTGAAAAACAAACACAAAAACACCCCCCACACACCCCAAACAAAAAAAACCCCAATCAGAATAAAAACAGTACCACACCTATTGCACTTTTTGCCGAATGAAATTGTTACCTCACTGTTCGTCTCGCCAAAGCGTTTTCTGTGGCGCTGGCTCTCCGGCCGTGTGAGCACACACCTGTCTGTCACCAGCGTGCGCACGCCGCCCTGGCTGACAGACTGGTGGGCAGGTCAGTGTTCCAAAGCCTTCCCTGGGGCACTAGGTAGGAAACGAAGCCTCGCTCTGCAGGCAGTGCAGGTGGCGATGGAACTCAGTGATGTTGCTTGGACTGAGCGACAGGAGCTGACGGAGGGATTCCAGCAGGGAGGGGCTGCGCTCGGCGCTCAGTGATGGTCCGCGCCGTGGCTGACAGGCCGCGCTGCTCTCCACATCCTGTAGCTTCGGCAGCCTCTCCATGTCCCCTCCTGCGTCGCGTAACTGTTCTGTCAAACTGCCTAGGTCTCCTGGGCTCTGCTGGGGCAGGAGGTGATGGCACCATGGTGGCCGTGCCGTGCCCGCAGTCCTGAGCTGAGCAGCCCACTGGGGGTGTGGAAGGCGGTTTCCTTTCGTCAATATCATGGCACTTCTGCAGCGATTCCAGAGAGCCGCCTCCTTAGTCTAAACAAACCAAGGCCTGGTTTATAACTGGCTTACTCCGCAAAGACTTAGAAAGATTAAAGATCTCAATGAGATGATCTCTCAAGTGAAGTGATGTCTGAATTTCACGAAATCATCAGTCTGAAGCACGAGGAGGAATGAGCAACCCATGAAAGGGACGCAATTCATTCTTTCTGGATTTTCTTTGTTACGAGATCACAAAACTGACAAGTCTCTCCTGCTACCCTTTCCTGTTGCCATCCGGAGCCCGACTCCAAGCAGAACGCCTTTGTGAAGCAGCCTGGCCCCAGGGGAGCCCCGAGAGGCGTGGCAGTGTCTGGCCAGCCACCAGGCCACTCGAGTCACCAGCATTGGCAGGGGCTGCAATGGGGGCCACAGTGGCGCTCTGCAGACTTTTCCCACGCTCCCCTCCCTGCCTGGACACTTACTACAAAGAGGAAAGGCAACTGAAAGGTGTTTCTAGATGCAGCATCAGTGTGTAGTATCTGTCTTCTTGTGCTTTAAGGAAGATGCTTGTTTTAAACGCATTCATCTGCTGATAGGACAAGCCACTCTAAAGGACAGAAATTATAGGTTTTTATAAATAATACTGAAATTGTAACAGCTGGATGTCACTGTGCAAATGCCACATTACCCATTCTGCCTAGGTACATGGTTAACTAACTGGCGCATCCATTTTTCACTTACTTTGATGAATGAATCATTAAGGGCTGCATTTTTTTTTCTTCTCGAAATGTGTGGCAGATTGATCTGCTTAAATGGTTAATACATCTGTAGCTCTTTGAATTTTGCTGTTAATACTTTAAAATTTCATTATAAGTGAAAACTTTAAAGAAACAAATTCCTGCCAAGTGCTGGTGGCTCATGCCCGTAATCCCAGTAGCTACTAAGGAGGCAGAGATCTGAGGATCATGGTTCAAAGCCAGTTTGGGCAGTTAAGTCCAAGAGACTCTTATCTCCAATAAACCACCAGAGAACCGGAAGTGGCACTGTGGCTCAAGTGGTAGAAAGCTGGCCTCAAGCTGAAGAGCTGAGGGACAGCGCCCAGGCCCAGAGTTCTAGCCCCACGGATGGCCCGAAACAAAACAAAACCAAAAACAACAAATTCCTACATAGTGGAATGAGAATTCTGATTCCTACAGAGTGGAAAAGAAACTTAAGATGTGACTTCTTTGGATTTAGCACTGACAGAAATAGCAAACCTGATTTCTTTTATTCTTTTTTTTTTTTTTTTTTTGGGTCAGTCGTGGCAAGGCCTGAACTCTGGGCCTGGGTGCTGACCCTCAGCTCTTCAGCTCAAGGCTAGTAAACTCTGGGCCTGGGCGCTGTCCCTGAGCCCTTCAGCTCAAGGCTAGCACTCTACCACTTGAGCTACAGCGCCACTTCCAGCTTTTTTCTGCTTATGTGGTGCTGAGGAATAGAACCCAGGGCCTCATGCATGCAAGGCAAGCACTCTACCACTGAGCCACCTTCCCAGCCTGCAAACCTGATTTCTACAGCAAAGGACTTAAAGCATGATGGGGGAAGGGAAAGGCGTAGCTGCACCAGTTCACACAGGACATAAACGCTCATTGTTTGTGTCCTTGAAGTTTCTAAGCCCTATATGAAACTGTCCAAATATACAACACCCAATAAACTACTAGCAATGTAAGTTGTAAAGTCAAAGGAGTTTCTACATTGGAGAAGAGACAGAAGGCCTGAGTCTCCACAGAGCTGGCACAGGAAGAGCTGGCTTCCTGGTCCAGGGCTGGAGCCCCTGGTTCCCTCTCCCCACCCCGCCCCCAGCCTCCGCTGCGGTGAGCCTCCTGTCCTACGGGCGAGGATCTGGTGATTATAATCCAGGCCATTTCTGAAGAGCTGTACCCCCAGATGGACACTATTTCAGATTTCTGAGGTCAGCTGTTAATTTAGCGACCCCTGAAACAAGAGCTCAGGCTCTGAAGTTTTTCCATGGTCTTGGGGATGATAACTGCATCCTCACCTAAGAACTCATCACTCAACAATAAAACGTAACTTTACTGCCCGTGCATCAAATACACGTATCCTTGATTGGCCTCGAAGCAACATGTTGTTGCTCGCTCAGCGAATTCCATTGCCTTCTTGTTTTGCCCTATGTATATTTATGCAACACACATTTTTTCTGCTTTCACCAGGTTTCCTTTGATAAGGAACTGATGTAATTCTGCATCCAATCTATGTCTGAATGTTGACTTAAACGTGTTGGTGCCTCTCTTGAGAGCTTGTTCTGCTTTACTTAAGGGCATGTGCTTCAGCCTGTGACTCTGTTCCAGCATTTGCCACAGACGACTCTGTGGTGGGACAAAGCCAGGAGCAAGCACATCCACCCTCGCCACGCCTTCTGATTGCAGTTGGGTGACTTGATTTTTTTCCCCATTAGGAAAAGGGCAAGAAAATAAGCTTTAGATTTAAAAGGATGGAATAAAAACAGAAGTACACAGTCTGCTTGCACTAGATCCACCTTACTTCCTGTGCTTAGGTTAATTCACCAAGACATACCCATTGTGTTGTGGATCCACAGCATCTAGCATCTCACAATCAAAAAGTCCAGGTAGGTCAGAGAGGGCCAGCGGGTCGTAGCTGGAGGGGGCGTCCTGCAGTCCTGAGCTCCTAGGGCAGTCTGGGGCTGAGAGGCCACTCTGCTGGGCTCCGTCCACAGGATACTGACAGGGAGTGGGATAGTCTGGCGCCGAGGAAGTGGCACTTGGCAGCTCGCAAGTCTGATAGGAGAACTGTAAGGGAGCTGGGGCAGCTCCTGGCTGCTGTGGAGGCGGCGGAGGTGGCGGGAGTGGAGGCTGCTGCGGCTGCTGCAGCTGTGTGGGCAATGGAGGGAGAGCCCGGGGGCCAGGCGCTGAGGGCAGGGGCTGCAGCTGCATCTCCTGGTACTGGCTGAGAAAAGGGCTGTACTGCATCTGCTCAGAAGAAGGCTCCAGGACAGGGCTCAAGGGCTGGCTCAGGCTGAACGGCGGGGGCTGCTGGGGCGGTGCCGGAGTCTCCTGGTGGGGAAGGGGCGGCTGCTGACTTGGCTGGGGGTAGGAGCTCTCCGCTATCTGCATCTGGTTAAAATACGCCTGCAGCTGAGACTGCTTCTGCAGGAAAAGCCGCTTCTGTTGGAGCCTAAATTGGCAACACCAAAGGAAAGCATGTGAAATCGTCTAAGGAAAGGCCATTCCAGAGTCAATCCACTAGCAGGCACTAGCTTCAGAACCCACTTCTTTGAGACATGGTCTTACTGTTGTAGCCCAGGCCAGCTTGCTGGCCTCTGGGCAGATGGACAATCTTCCACTTCTCTCTCCCATGCAAGGAGAAAAAGTATGGCTAGGAAATCCCCATGATATGTTTCTGAAATGTGAGCTCCTCTTCTGCCCTTAATTCTGACTAACTTCCCCCCTTCTCCCAGTGCTAAGTGAGCATGAATGCGTTTGTTTTTTTTTTCAGACATGAATGTGTGTGTGTTTGTGTGTGTGTATGATTTTTGGGGGGTGGTTGTTATTTGTTTTATCTGTCTTGGGCCTTGAATTCAGGGCCTGGGCACTGTCCCTGAGCTCCTTTTGCTCAAGGCTAGCACTCTACCACTTGAGCCACAGCACCACTTCTGACTTGTTCTGCGTATGTGGTACTGAGGAATGGAACCCAGGGCTTCATGCATGCTAGGCCAGCATCTACCACTCACTAAGCCACATTCCCAGCCCAACATGTATGTAGTTTAAATAGACTAGCCTTTTATGTTGCTTTCTTTATGTATCTCCCTGTGCTCTGTGGAACAACTGCTTTCATTGAAACTGCTTGTGCCACCTTCATACATAGTTACAACGTATTTTCTCTTAAGAGACTAACATTATCTTCCTGCGCTGAGGCTGTTTTCTCATCCTGACTGGCTGGAGGGGAGGTACATAACCCTTGGCCTCTGTGGGTGACTGTAGGCTGATGGAGCAGAGTAATTCTATCTTGGCCAAGCTGCTTCTACCAGCAAGGCCAGCAGGCTTACACAGCAGTAAAACAGGCCTCAGTGTGACCTGCATGAGGTGCTTTAGGCCATGGATTCTGAAAGCTTAGGGTCTAGTCACACCCCAGAGGGGAAATGCTAGGAGAGAAGGAAAACCCAATGCACTTGGGGACTGCTGCTGTCTGAAAGGGCCAGGCTCCGGGAATGCTGGCAGGGCCTCAGCAATGACGCTGGGAAAGCCTGGTATGTGTGTCGAAGCCCAGGTTCTAGTCGAGGCAATCACGCATGGAAAAGCACCCACAGCCAGCATGCTTCAGGCAGTCATGAAAGTGACTCTGCTGGCCAAGGAGCCGCTCACCTGTGCTCCTGCAGCTGCTGCTCTAGGCTCCGTGGTGGCTCTTTACAATAAAGCTGACAGGTGTTCTGGGCCTTTGACAGAAGACTGGGCTTCTGGAAGAGCAAAGACATTATAAGCATGACCGTATGCTGTCACCTGGCTGTAGTTGTCAGACTGCTCCTGCTTGGAGGGTGAATCTAGGTGTGGCCTCCACATCCACACAGGGCGAGGGGACTGACCTCTATGCTCCCTGAGAGCCCAGAACGGCATGGGTCAGCAGGCCAGAGTGTCCTCAGATAGGACCCACTTGGGTTCCATTTCTGAGAGTCCTCTGGGATTTCGAGGTTTGTGGAGAACAGTGAGAAACGTAGACAGAAATCTTGACAGCCTCGCCATGTGCCGAATGAACAATTCATTCTGGACGCAACCGATATTTCATCATTTAAGATTTTCACCAACCATTGTAGACATCCCATGCTCACATTTTGCCGACTTGAGATTTCCCTTTTATTTACCATTCACTAAGGAGATCAAATTAGAAACTAAGAAGCCAAGTCTCCTTTTCCCATCGCTTGGCAGCAGACCCTTCCCCTCCTTCTGAGAGACTAAGAACCCAGCCACACACTTAGCAGAAAGCTAAGTCTGAACATGGTTTTTGAAACTGCAAGTGCAGTCAGACTACCAGCCTATATGGAATAAAGTAGCTATCCTAAGTAGACACCAGCCAAACAGGTTTGTGCCTTGCTCGAAGGAAGGATCTGGGTGAACGGCAAGAGGAAGGCTCCCACCTGGAGTCGATGCTGAAGATACTGGCTTTCCAGGCTTTGCCGTGGGGAAAGCTGAGGATGCACGCCGGCAGGGAGAGTGGAGACACTTTCCTGCTGCTGAGAAACTTCCTCCTGAGAAGCAAGATGGTAGAAAATTTCAGTTTGCCATGCAGAGAGAAGTTTCAACTCTTTATTTAAGCATCCTGCCAAATAACCAAGAGGAAGGTCACCTCTGTGGGACATTAATCCTCCAAGCTTCTGTGCAGGCAAAGCTTTGAAGGATGCTTCTTGCAGAGACCTTCCATCTACATTACCCATGGTCCATTGTGACCTAGTCTGTGCTTCCTGTTGGCCTCATCTACGGATATACCTTATACCTCAGCTACGGATACACCTTACGGATATACTGCTAACAGGCTGGAAATTACATTTATTGGGTGAACAGTTGCATTGATTATTTCACAAATAATCTGTAATATTTGATAAAGTGATTTTACACCAAAAGCAGTGGCAAGTGTCTTTTGTGGGTGATATGACTCCTCTTGTGTCTGGGTGGTGGTAGGATCCTATGTGATCCTGTGTGCTCATACATGATCATATGTGAGTAGGTCATGTGCAGTCTGCCCTAGGTCTCCGAGGTGCCTGTTGGGCCAGTACAGCAACCAGGAAAGTCAAACAGGTCCAACAGCCTCAGAGCTGTGGTGGGAAGAGCCTGGGCACTCACCGGAGGGCAACTTGCAAGGTCCTGAAGCTGAGAAGCAGCTGGTGCCAGGCTAGGACCAGCGTCAGATCCCATTTGTTCATAGAGCAACTGCACTTTGTTTAACTCCAGGATTCCTTTGGTTCTTGCCAGATTCTGAAGATGTTGTCTAAAGGCTACAATTCCTAAAATAAAGTACAAAGAACAAGTTTTGGTAAAACGCAAGGCCTCTCAGTGCACACGGTTCACAGCCCCGTAGCAACAGCCCTCCACTGCTCACACTGAGCTGGGAAAGTGAGAGGCGCCGCACTCGCCTTGGGTGAGGGAGGTGTCTGATGCCCTGCGGCCCTCTCTGAAGCTCACAGGGGACCTGTTGTGCGCTTCACGTTTCTGGGAGCTCAGAGCCTGCATGGCTGGGTTGGTAGGTCGCAGGCTGACGAAAGGAGACGTCATACGGGGTGAGGGCTGATTGGCCAGCATGATGTCCTTCAGGGAAGGGTTGTCTTCCAGAAAGTTAAGGTCTCTCTGAGCACACCCCATGTCATATTCCGAGTCCACACTGTCAAGGGAGGGGTTGTCACTCATGGAGAAAAGCTTCCCTTTAAGAGAAAACAGAATAGATATAACCAACAGCAACAACATTTTTGAATTCAGGATAAAAACTGTGATGAGTTTTAGTCTGGAAAGCAGTGGTGTCCTTCATTTACTCAGGATGCTGAGGTAGGAGTTTGAGACTAGCATCACAAAGCAAATAGTGAGAAACAAAAATCTCAGGGCTGTTGCTGTGAGGGTGTAGCTCAGCAGCAGAGTGCTTGCTTAGTATGCACAGGCCCTCAGTTCAATCCCTAGCACTGCAAACAAACCAATTCCATCTTTTCAGAACCTTTTTTATAGGCCAATTTAAATGCCTTCAAATGTACTGGGGGAAAGCTCTCCAGAATCTGTGCCTATAAGATCTCAGCTGTCCAAAGAAGCCAGAGACTGAGGAAGCCAAGCTCACCTGATGAGCCCCAAGGAGAGACAGCCAACTCAAACATTTCACTTTCATCTTGGTTAGCTGTTGGGGCAGAGGCCTGATCTGCATAGCCTGCTACATGGGCTCTGTGAAGCAATGGGACTACATCCCATTACTACTTCTATTGCTATACTTGGTGCCTGGAAGATGAAAGGACACAGTGAAGACTTAGCCCGGTGCTTCTTGGACATCGTACCTGGCCCAGGCATCACAACCAGGGGGTTGGTCACTTCTGACAGCGTGTGCCGTCGCTGGCCACTGCGCGTGGCCTGGAAAGCTTCAAAGGCATGACTGGGGTCTTCCTCGGCCTCTCCTTCAGTCTCCAGGCCTTCATCTATGGAGGTCTCCATCATGTTGCTGGGCAGTGACTGGCATCCCTTCCTCACCAGGACAGGAGGCACAGGGTCAAGCAGACAGCCATTTACCTACATGCCACAGGGTGAGCAACCTGTTAGTGGGGCTCTGTGGAGTCCTCAGAAAAACCCCAAAGGGAAAGGTGCCAAGACTCGTGGCAAACCAGAAATTAAGCCAAATACTAAAAGTGACCGTACAAATTTCAAATGACAATACACTGATTAAAAATGAAGGGCGGTCAATTGAAACACTAGAGACAGAAGCCCATTATGACCCAAACTGGCACTGCCATCAGGTTACTCTGAGTCATCCTATTACAATAAACACTTTTTTTTTAAATGGAGCTCCAGATGAATAGGAGTATTTTAGCTTGAGGCCTACCAGGCTCTTTCTCTTTTTTTTTTTAATAAGGGAAGATGAAAAAATTTCTTTATTTTCTTTTAAGGCAAGCCATTGTCTGAAATTTCTATAATCTTGCTCTGATGGAGCAGGAGAAGGCCTCAAACGGTTTCGAGACTGTTCTGGTGAGCTCTGTAGCGTGTACAGGGCCATGGCAGACCCACGCGTGCTAGAAGCTTGCTACAGATTTTTTTTTTTAATGCATGGCTCGTAGCTAAAAGAAAAGAGTAGTCACCAACATTCTTCTAATTTTCAACCGCAAATCACACTAGAAGGTTCCAGAGATACTTTTCAGTTTATGACTTAAGTACCTGCCCATTCAGTTTAGTCTTTAATAGGTTCTATGTGCCCAAGGAATGGAAAGTAAGAATTCTTTGAAGACAGATACCACAAAAAGGATTGAAAAAAAAAAAATCAAATGGCAAGCAGCCAAAGGCTTCCATTATAGAATAACAAATGACTCACAGGCCCCAAATTCCAGCAGAGGTTAATAAGCCCCAGCGCACAGAATTCTCTCCCTCCGGCAGCTCACACAGTATCGACTGTTCACCCCGCAGGGAGAGCTCAGCTCAGCCTGGGGTGAGCCTTCCGCCTCCCTGCACAGTTGCCAAGCAAACCACCTAATGGTCGGCTAAAAGGCACACAAAAGGGAGTTGTGGTTTCCAGTTCTTCTAGCTGGTAAAAACCCCACAGAGGAGGCAATTATTTACCTCATTACCTTAACTATTCCCTAGTGGAAATCAATCCCTGGTCTCCTGTGAATGGCTGCTCAGGAGCAGCCAGCAGAGCTGCTCTGCCTGGAGCACGCTGGGTAGAGCAGGGTTTCCTTTGGAGGCTGGAGCTCTTGTATATGGGAGCCCGGTGCCAGACACAGGAAATTTTCCTCTTACACAAACCATCTGAGGCTCTGTGAGGCTGGGTCTGGACAGGGAGAGCTGGAGACTCAGCTTTGTTTGCTTGGGGGAGGGGCTGCTCATCCCCCAGATCTGCTCTGCAGCCACAGCCACTCCTTGTTTAGGGGGCTGATGCACGAGCAGTTGCTTCAAAGGGAGAGCGCAGATACCTTCTTCCCAACCTTCCAATCTTCCCTTGGAACAGAAAACAGAAACCTGAGATCTGGCCAACAACTGTCATCCTCTCCTTGGACCTTTCCTGGAGAACTTTTCCCTTTTGACTATGCTAAATAGTTTCCTTGCCAGAAAGCATGGCTGAGAACTTAAGATTCATACTTCTAGGCTCCCTAACTGGCTAGTCTAGTGAGTTTGTTAAGAACAGCGCTGGGAAAAATGATCGTGACGTAACTTCCCATAAAGAAGATTCAAAATCGTATGGGCAGGTTTTGCTGTTGTTTGTTTTTACAGGAAATCAAATCCAAGTCTCAACTCTGACTTCCTAATGGCCTTTGCCGACAACTTCAGCACTGAAGAGTTCTGGGAGGGAAAAAGGTGAACTCTCTTTGGGGTATAACATCCTTGTCTCTAATTGAGAGCAGAAATGTATTTAGCAATACATGCAGTTACAAAGAATCTTACGGAAAACAAAAGGGTGTTGTGGTGAGTGTTTATGAGACAGTGTGAACAACAGAACTGTATTTCTATTAGAGGTTTTATTTTTATTTGTTTATTTTTTTTTGGGGGGTCCGGTCGCGGGGCCTGAACTCTGGGCCTGGGCGCTGTCCCTCAGCTCTTCAGCTCAAGGCTAGCGCTCTACCACTTGAGCCACAGCGCCACTTCCGGCTTTTTTCTTTTTTGCTTATGTGGTGCTGAGGAATCGAACCCAGGGCCTCAGGCATGCAAGGCAAGCGCTTTACCACTGAGCCAACTTCCCAGCCCCTATTAGAGGTTTTATGTGTGTGTGTTTATCTACCGGCCTCAAAGAGAGGGGTGGGAGGGACAGAAGAGAGACAGCATGTTTGCAGACATAAATGAAACGACCCACAATAAGACTGGTGAATGTTTCTGGCCTGGCTGGGTGTCAGGGTGGCCCTGCCAATGGGTGGCTACTTCCAGTGTGGCACCCTTCTTTCTACAAATGCAAATACACTAGCTAGCTTCTGTCTATATCTTTCGCAAAATCATTCATTTCCTGTCTGTTTCCTAGTTACTGTAACAATCACAAGCTTTAAAAATAGCTTGCCCTATATATTACAGCAGACAGTACCCAATCTGTGTTTCGGGCCTGATGCCCTCACAGACAAGATTTTAGCAGACTGCATTTTAATTTTGTCGGGAGAATTAGATCTTCAAAATGAATTATGCTGCCCTAATTGATGTCTACATTTCAGAATTGGACTGTAACAGTGGTTTATAAGGTTATTTCATATCCTAGGCAACTGCAGGAGGAATAAACACTGTCCCACAGAGAGGCACTTGTCCTCAGGGCCCTGGGCACCAGAGTTCAGTACTGCGGTGTAGCCCTTGCTGCAGTGGCCACATTGGCTGGATTCTGGTTAAACTCACCATTTACCTTTGATCGCTGCTTAACCTCCAGAGGTTCCAGTTTCTGAAATGGCACCTATCATCTAGGCTCAAGATCTCGTGTGGGCGTGGACTTCTCTCTATCCCTGGAGACCTTCCATTCTACCCGTGTTGCCCCCTCCTTTCGCTGCCTTCGTCCTTTCAGGACCACTGTCCTAGTGCAGGCCTACATGGTCTCCCTTCTGGACACACATGGGCTTGGCCTCCCGTCTTCCAGCCAGTGTGAGGTGACAATCAAAGCGCATTTTCTGAAGCCCAGGAGGCACAGTATGTAGGCCCCCTGCCCCGGGGTCACTTCTTTAACTGTTACACTTGACCCTGAGACACTCCCCGACACTGATAGTGCCTGCTTTAGAAAAGCCCGCATTGCCTGGTTTGCCATTTCCAGATGAAATACTCATCTTTACTCCATGCATCGTCCCTTCTCCGTATGTTCTTTTCCTCAGAAAAAACTAAGAGCTATACTGATTTAGATGACCAGAAGTTTCCCAAAGTTTGCTTTTGCTTAAGCTCTTCCTTCCCCTGGAGATGCGCCATCCTACTTTCCATTCACCTGCATTCTCATCCTCTTCTTTCCCTGCTCTTCAAGCTAACCCCAAATGGCACCAACCAAACACGCACACTCACCTTCCTGCTTCCTTCTAGTCTCATTTTGATTTATTACCTCTCTACATGACCAATCATATATTTTATTTTTTGTCAGCTTCTCTGGCGCTTGGCAGACTCAGCATTGTCTCTAGTTCCTTCTGTGTGATGGCAGTCCAGCGGACTGAGGCAGAGTTCATATATGACTTTTTTTTTTTAATTACCAAAGAGGCTGGACAGGAAACTCATAATTATTGAGCACTAAAATCTGCCCCAAACATCACATACACACATTATCTCAATTATCTCAATCCTCACAATAAACTTATTAAGTTGACATTCTCAGTTTACACAGAGAAAACAGGTTCAAAGGTTAGTCTCCTTGCCCAAGTTCACATGGTTTAGTTAAAAGCAATTTGAAGATACTCAAAGACCCACATTCTTTTTATCACACTCTGTTATCATTAATATGAATATGATTCTTTTTCTTTCGCTGGTCCTGGGATTTGAACTCAGGGCCTGGGTACTTTCCCTGAGCTTCTTCTGCTCAAAGCTAGTGCTCTACTACTTGAGCCACAGTGCCTCTTCTTCCAGTTTAGTGGTGTTTGAAAGTCTCATGGACTTTCCTGTCTGGGCTAGCTTTGAACTGTGATTCTCAGATCTCAGCCTGAGTCACTGGCACCCAGCTATGAATTTGATTCTTTAGTATCATATGATGCTAAATATATATAACACATATTAGAAGCAAAATAAACACCCATTGTATGAAACTGTCCCTTTTATATATTAAAAGCCAACTAATGAGCCGGGCGCCTGTGGCTCACACCTGAAATCCTAGCTACTCAGGAGGCTGAGATCTGAGGACCATGGTTCAAAGCCAGCCCGAGCAGGAAAGTCTGTGAGGTTCTTTTGTTGTTGTTGTCGTCGGTCGTGGGCTTGAACTCTGGGCCTGGGTGCTGTCCCTCAGCTCAAGGCAAGTGCTCTATCACTTGAGCCACAGCGCCACTTCCGGTTTTCTAGTGGTTTACTGAAAATAAGAGTCTCATGGACTTTCCTGCCTAGCTGGCTTTGAACCGTGATCCTCAGATCTTAGCCTCCTGTGTAGCTAGGATTACAGGCGTGAGCCACTGGTGCCTGGCTCTGTGAGACTCTTATCTCTAGAAAACTGGAAGTGGTGCTGTGGTTCAAGAGGTAGAGCACTCCCTTGAGCTGAAGAGTGCAGGGACAGCACCCAAGCCCAGAGTTCAAGCCCCATGACCAAAAAAAAAAAAAAAAAGCCAACTGATGTATACCAAATACAAACTGAACTCTTTAATAATGTCCAAAGCAACCACCAAAGATGCTCAGCAGATCAAAAAGAAAGTCTACCAATTTTGTCTAGAATATCCTCAAATAGAAGAGAGGCAGTATTAACAGAACACGCAATTCAGCACAATAGAAAACTTGTTTTCAAAATTACGATTAAAGACAAAACCAAAAGGAGAAAGAAGAGGCTTCTTGAGAAGTTACTAAGAGGTCTGTCAAGTCACATTATGTTACAGTCATAATAATTAAACACTGGTGAGGCGTTAGCTCTGGACACTTCGAATTCTCCAAAACCCCAAACTAACAACAAAAAGCCCCAAACCAACATTCCTGACTGAGCCGAGAGTTCATCCAAGCCACACAGCAAACACGGGATCTCTCCAACATTCTCACTGTACCTTTGGAGTGTCGACACATTCCTCCTCCATAAACGCAGCTTCCGCTTGACAGCCAGATGCTGGAAACGAAAAGGCCTCCACATTGGATGCCTGTGGGAGGGGGGTAGACCGCAGCAGTCTCACATTCGGTGAATGCATGGCCACCGGGAGCCCCACAGTTTGTGCCTGCAAATACAGCAAGAACAGAGTACGTGAAGAGGAATACTTCCCCCCTATAATACACAAAGTTCTCGGAAGCAAATTGTTGCTGGGGCCATGAAAGGATAAGCACTTGGGACACTCCAGGAAAGACTTGCGTTAGTATGTGTTAGGTAGAGTATCAGTCTCAGTAAGACTGTAAATAAAGAGTCTGGACAGAGTTTGGGTCCCATCCCTTGATAAGAGGTATAACTTGCATGGAAGCGAAAAGAAAACCAGTCTTTGTAACTACCAGTTCAACAAACACTCCTTGTCTCTTCCCTTAAATCAATGACTAGGAAAGGTATAAAGAAAAAAGTTGAGTGTGCAGGAGCTCAGCATTGGCGCTCCATGACCTGGTAACTAATGACAGTACAGGTGTACTTAACTAAGCATACTCCTCACCCTACTCCTCACCCTTTCTGGGCAAGGATGTCCACGAAGAAAAGCAGTTACTTGGGAGTAAAAGAAGTCTTTCTGGAACAAGGGAGATATAAAGAATAGCATGCTTGGTACCTACCACACAGATGATGAAAGAATGTTTCGATGACAAACTGATGGTTGATAAATATCCTAGTGGTCATTACTGGGCCATGCCCAAACAAATACGGTCCCTTTTTTTTTCCCCCTGTGCTGAGCCTGGGCGCTGTCCTTGAGCTTTTTTTTTTTTTTTGGTTTCTTTATTGAGGTTAAGTGAGGTTAAGTGATTACATGAATTTCACAGTATCGTGGGATAGTGATACTTAGCTAACGTCACAAACACATGTTAACCTTCACAGGGTGAATTGGTCATTATCATAGTTTATAAAGCTTGAGAACTCTACAAACTTTGACAATACAACTATTTTTTCCAAATAGGGTGATATGTACCTTTCTTTCCTTTTGCTTAGTGTAAGCTGTTCCCTCTTTCTCTCTCATTCCCTCCCTCCTCTCACTGCCCTTGAGTTGCTCTGTTCACTTTCTTCAATGTCCAGGGCAGCTGATGGGCCCCTCTGCATATTTTATCACCTGTTTCCCTCTGATTCTGTGCCCTCCTCCCAGCTTCCTTCATAGTGCACATGGATCTACCATGTGTGTGGTCAAGAACATAGAGTCATCTAAAAACAATACGACAAATTAAGAAGAGGTCCTTTGTTTCTTGAGTCCTGTTTGCTTTGTCGGATCTCGTTGTGTTTTGAATTTAACATCTGCATATCAGAGAGACCCTTGTGCTCTTTTTGCTTAAGACTAGCATTCTACAACTTGAGCCATAGCTCCACTTTTGAATTTTGGTTAGTCAGAAATAGAAGAGTTTCGTGGACTTTTCTGTCCAGGCGGCTTTTGAACTGAGCTCTTTGAGACCTCAGTCTCCTGAGTGGCTAGGATAACAGGCGAGAGTCACTGGCTCACTTTTCAAACCCTGTTTATTGGCCTGAATCTCTGCTTCTGATTTTATTGTTTTCCAGAACATAATTTTCTTTCTTATGGGAAAATTGTTATTGTTCTATAGGAATTTGGTGTTAGGGGCTGACTTATGTTTTCCCAAAATTTCTAAGTTGAAGATTAACCCTCAATGGCAAGGTATTTGGAGAAAGGACCTTTAAGAAGATTATTAAGGTTAAATTAGGTCATAACTGGTAGGGCCCTGATCCAAGAAGGTGAGACTAAGTTTTAAAATATAGTTTAGACTGGTCTTGAGTTCACTATGTAGCCCAGGCTGGCCTTCAATTTATGACACCCCCCCTCCCCCCCGTTTCACTCTCCTAAGTGTTGGGACTACAGGTGTGTAACACCAGGCCTGGCTGCTATTCATATAAGAAGAAGAAGAACAGATGCCAGAGACCTCTTCACAACTGACAGTGGAAAGGCTATGTGAGGCGCAGTGAGAAGGGAGCCCCTACCAGTCAGAAAAGACCTTCTGCACAAATCGGCCCTGATGGAACCTGACTGTGCATTTCTGGCCTCCAGATTAGGAAAAAAGAATCTGATTTTCAGTCAACCAGCCTGGCATTTTGTTATGCCAGCCTGAGAAAACGAATATAATGGGTTGTCTTACAGATGTGGAGGGCAATCTTTAATCAAGAGAACTGTGGTGACACTTTATTCCTGTCTGCTGACTGTTAATGGAAGGTGGAGGAACGTTAAGAGTAGTGGTTAGAGCTGATGAGAAAAAGGTGCGATGTTTTCTAAATGGCTGCCTCAAGTCAGTAGGTGTGATGCTAATGTCACGGCACACAGCAAACAAAACTACTTTACACCTATGTGGGATGGGAATCTCACTGTCTTCTATGTAATATAACGGATACTTGATCACTGCGGCCCAGACTGTTTCCTAAGTAACTCTGAAGCCTCAGTGGCTGGGACTGTGCCTGGTAGACAAATGCTCTGTTTGCTGAACTCAACTGCTCCTACAGGTTAACTTGTTCAGTAGCGATCTTTCTAAATAGGCAATACTATTTCCATTTCAAAGCCATTCATCTCTGTGTGGAACTTAAGGTCTGTTTTCATTCCATAGTTCATGTGACCCTGGCACTGAATCATGCTGTTTCCTCAGTTTCTAATCATGTAACAAGTAACAAGTGATCTGCACTACCTTTTTAACAATTAGAACATTAAAAAATTAAAACAAGTAGGCTATACTAAAACAAAGCATTATTTATATCCACAAAAATCTGAGAAATTTGTTTTAAAATCTGTTTTAATGACTCCCTGAGAGAAGGTCACAAGTGAAGTCAGAGTGAATAGGTCAATGCATAAAGTAAAAAGAAATTATGGTATGTGTGATAATAAAAAAACCAAGCTAGCAAACAGAAGTAGCCATGTTATACATCGGAATACCAAGCCAAATTAAATACAATCTGAGATATCTAAAGGAATTTGCTTGAAGTCTAGATAGGAAAGGATAGCGTGTACAATAACAGGAGCATGTGCTCAGGAGTGATTGTTTATGTAACCCTTACCACTCCCTCACTTGTATAAAGTTAAGAATGAAGAAACTTGGCAGGGAAGCCTGCTACTGCACTGGGGCATTCCAGCTTCTGACCCTGTCGTCTGGCTGCACACACTGGTGGAAGAGGCACTGTGTGCTCCATCTCACTATTACTACCCAGTTTAGGATTCCTCTTCCACTCTTTTTCTATTACTACCCAGTTTAGGATTCCTCTTTCACTCTTTCTATTACTACCCAGTTTAGGATTCCTCTTCCACTCTTTCTATTACTACCCAGTTTAGGATTCCTCTTCCACTCTTTCTATTACTACCCAGTTTAGGATTTCTCTTCCATTCTTTCTGCTTTAAAAAGCAGCATCTGTGTCCCTAGGATTATATATGAGCCACCCTCACTTGGCTGTTTTCCTTTGCATGGTCTGTAGAAGCTGATGTAAAATGTGTCAAAGAAATACAAAGTAAAGATTCTTCTGTCCTTAACTTCACTTTCACAGAGAACTGCTCACTGAAATGGATGAGAATGCCAAGAGGGCAAAGGAACAAAGCACTTTTCTCAGCCTAGACACAGATGACTCCCCAGACTCCTGGGGCCCCAGGCGCTTTCCTGGGATCCAAGTCTACATGCCTTCTTGGCAACTGAGCTAATGCTATCCCTGTGTCCTCAGGCCCCGGCCCCAGAAACAGCCATCCCCAGCATTTGTTTATTTACGCTTACTTTATTTATTTGAACACTTCTGTGGGGACTTGGCTTGGGTAGTAGAGCACCTGTCTTGTAGATTCAAAGCCCTCAGTTCAAGCCAGTGCCAGTGGCTCACGCCTGTAATCCTAGCTAATCAGGAGGCTGAGATCTGAGGCAGCCTGGGCAGGAAAGTCCATGAGACTCATCTTCAAAAAATTACCGGAAAACTGAAAGTGGTGCTGTGACTCAAGTGGTAAGAGTACTTGCTTTGAGCTGAAGAGCTGAGGTACAGTGCCCAGGCCCAGAGTTCAAGCCCCATGACTGACCAAAAAAAAAAAAGCCCTGAGTTCAAACCCCAGTGACAACAAACAAATCAAAACAACAAACGCTTACATGGCATTGACTACATACCAGCCACTGTATTATACCACAAACATTAACAAATTTTATTATCACAATCTTATCACCTCTATTTTATACCTGGGAAGCTGAGGTAAACAGAAATCTCAAGGTTTCCTAATGTCACACAATAGGAAATGGCAGAATCTGCTGTTTTAATTAGTCCATGGAGCTGGATCTCCAAACTAGCATGTCCCTTCAGGGTCTAACTGTGAAAATGGCCCTTATACTTACTTGTCGTTCTCTCTGCTTCTACTTATACCACATTGGCTTAAGTAGTCAGCAGTTCATGTTTCAATTACTATAATAATCTCTTGCTGCTGTCTCCAAACCTTGTCTTGATTCATCCCATCCTTTCCAATGCTAACAGATTAGGTTAAAAAAGAGAGAATTCTATCATGTTTCTGCTTATAATGGCTTTCACTAGTTCATTGTTGTTTCCTGAATTGCAAACTCCTTACTTAACAGAGTTCTTTATAATATGGCTTCAACTTGCCAATCTAACCTTTGGTTTTTTTAATACTTCAGTTCAAATGGACTAACTGCTGTACTAACTGCCCACATAGGACTTCTGCTTACCTCACATGGCTTCTCCCTACCCATAATGCTTTCAAGTCCTGTCTTTCCCCAACAAAGTCCCACACATCGGCAAAGATGTCTGAAATGCCATCTCTCCCACAGAGATTTTCTCAATCATACGTACCTCCCTCTCCTTCTCCTTAGCTCTTCAATGGCACCTGTCTTCCCTTATTCTAGTGATGGTATGGTCCTGTCGTCTAGCTTGTGCAGTGTGATGGCTCGTGGGGAAAAGACTATGTTCATTCATTCTAACCTCCAGAGTAATAACAGAAACTTGCACATGGTAAATCTGCCATAAAATTTGTTAGATTAAAAAAAAAATGGCTATGTGAGACTGAATATATAAGCTAGTGATATTCATTATTACCATGAATGATAAAAAAAAGAAATCCCTGAAATAAAGTTAAACCTTAAAAATAGGAAAGTGCTTAAATGTCTGAGACTCCAGTGAATGACTGAGGCAGAAAGTTCCCAGAAAAGTGAAATCATAAACCTTTGTACTTCACAATGAAAAGTAAGTCAAACATGTGAACAAGCACATGCCCAGATGAGACTCCTGGCTAACAGGATGTTACCTTGGCAACTGTTTGTTCAGCGATGGTGCTAGGCCGGCGCTGGCGACCGTCAAGTCTCTGCTCCACAGGAAAACTGCTCCTGTGTGACTTCAGGCGCTCCACCAACAAGAAATAAATGGCGGCAAAGTGGTTATAGCTTTTGTTCTGCAGAGACTGAAAGAGAAAAACAGTGTGAAGGCAGAGAACTATACACCAATCCAACAATCTACACCTTTCTTAAGGGGAGGGAATAGAATCAGAAAGCAGCAAAGCATGCCTCTGGAAAGCCTAAAGTTTCGAGTCTCCAATTTAGTTACACAAAGGGCGGTTCCTTTAAGTGACTGGTCCTTTTCCATGATCAGGATCCATTTGTTTACTGCATTGAGAGAAAAGTGCCATCACTGTCTCATTAGACATTCCCAAAGCTGGCATATGGTCACCATCTCTAGCTCTAAATATGGCATAAGGTCATGAGCTCTACTGACTGAATCCAAATCCAAATAACTGAAAGTGAATGAACTAAAGAGAAGAGAATGATTAAAGACTTTGAGGAACATTCTGGAGATTATTTTGGGCTGGAGAATGACCTCTGGATACTAGATGGAGAGACACTGTGTCTCCATTCTTAGGTAATTCTTTCCTCTTGTTTTTGCAGTCCCACCCTTTTGAAACCTTAAAAATAAACTTATTTCCCCAATTTTCGCATCTCTAGCCTGCCAGCTCTTCCAGGATGCGAATGCAGCAGAGACACAACTGTTCCTTTGCTTCTAATTTCACCCAGAGGTTTGCCCAGAAGCTGTGGAGGGCACCAAGGATGTGGTGCAAACTCAACAAAAGCCATGTGCCAGAGCTGCTGATCCGGATGTACTTTGAGGTCAAGCGTAGGAAACATTATTACTGACACACCACAAGGAAAGCAAGAGGGCTTCAATAGGTGGCAAGGCAGCATAATCTGGTGCCTTGGTCTTTCACAGCTAGCAAGGAGCATTTGATCTTCTTTCTGTTGCTGTTATGCTTCCTCCTTAGAAACACTTTAAAAAAAATTATTTAGTAGATTAAATCAGTATACTTTTTTTTTAAACAAAATTAGCAGGACTTTTTTTTTGGGGGGGGGGGGGCTCTGGTCGTGGGGGTCTGAACTCTGGGTCTGGGCGCTGTCCCTCAGCTCTTCAGCTCAAGGCTAGCACTCTACCACTTGAGCCACAGTGCCACTTCCGGCTTTTTTGTTTTTGCTTATGTGGTGCTGAGGAATCGAACCCAGGGCCTCATGCATGCAAGGCAAGCGCTCTACCACTGAGCCAACTTCCCAGCCCTTAATGAGTACATTTTTCTTTTTTTTTGGGGTCCGGTCGTGGGGCCTGAACTCTGGGCCTGGGCACTGTCCCTCAGCTCTTCAGCTCAAGGCTAGTGCTCTACCACTTGAGCCACAGCGCCACTTCCAGCTTTTTTCTTTTTGCTTATGTGGTGCTGGGCAATCGAACCCAGGGCCTCAGGCATGCAAGGCAAGCGCTCTACCACTGAGCCACCTTCCCAGCCCCCAGCAGGACTTTTTTAAACAGAAAATTTTTGTGACAGTAACATTACAGGAAGATGGCTTTAAGGCAGCAGAATAATCCTGAGTATGGGGAAGGACGCAAATGGTCACCACCTCACTCCATATTCAGAGACAAAAGCCTTGATCACCAGATGAAGAGCTACAAAGCTAACTCCAAAATGTAACAATATAAACATATATAAATGACTAAAAAATAAACTGGGGAAGAGAGAGAAACCCTTGTTACAGAAGAATTCCATTTCATACATACTCTACTCCTGTGGTACTTAACCACCACCTTTCCTGGTAATGGATGACATAATAACTTGCTTCCCAGGACAAGAGTATGGAGAAAGGAAAATACTAACTTTACACTGGAGAATTCTGGTAGGTGAAAAGCCATGGCTTTCCTCCATTGTTGTAAAGGCATTAAAAGTATGTATACCCTATAAATATGCTAACTATTTGAGGAAAGCAACAAAAGGCAAGAGGAATTTTCCAGGTTCATGACCTTCTCAGTTATATGACCCATAATATTTCTAAATCAGGACCCCACCTGTTTCTGCCTTCTGAGTATCTCCAGTTCACAATCCACTGACTTTCTTAAATCTGATGCTCTTGCTTCTTGTTCCCTGCTTGACTTTCAGCTTTACTCCTTACCTGCACATTTACATTCTATGCAAACTAGTGTTAATACTGCTATGAAACTTCATGTTTCATTTTGGAAGACATTTTCTAACTTGAACTATTAAGTTTCCATCACTGCCATGTCTGAATCCTCTATAAACCCTCCCACTTGAACTTTTTGGCAGACTGAATTTAGACACAGTCTGATGTAATAGTAAGGGAACCCTAAACACTACACCTAGGTGCAGGAGAGGCATGTGCTAGAAGACCAGGTTGATAGGTGTGAGCAAGTTATTGAGTTCAGAAGAGTACTAACACATCTTTAGTCAAATCGCTGGTGTTTTTACCTCAATGGTCTTCTGCTGATCTATCCCAAGGCTGTGCATCAATCGTAGAACCTGTTCATTATATTCCCCGATGGATGGCTCGTTTTCTTGCTCTTGTGGATAGAGAATAGGCCTCTGGATAGGAACTTCTATGAGCATCCACTTATGCTCCTTAATTTGAGCTATGGTTAGCCGTTTAGATGGGTCAAGGACCAACATCCTCCTAATAAGATGCTCACAATCTATAGAAAGCACAATGGTACAACAGTCATAAACCTCCTAGTATTTCAGGGTTATTTGCTTGACTTAAATGACTTTACAACAGTGTTAATATTCTTGTTTTTGTTTTTGCCTGTCTTAGGGCTTGAACTCTGGGCCTAGGTGCTGCCCCTGAGCTTTTGTGAGTGGCGTTAATGTTTGTATCCTTCACTGGAAAGTAGGGCAAATGAGTGAATGTATACATGAAAGATACTGATTTGTCAAGTTCACATGGTAAACAAAAATACTTGAGAAAAACAGTAGGGTATGGGTCTAGGTGAATCTGTGTGAAATCAGCTTTTCTTCTGAATTTCTCAACTAAAATTATCTAGTCACAGACTGAGATTTTCATTAGAAATAATCTGTCTACAATTGTACAACAAGTAAATAATAAACTGATCCTCAGTCATATCTATAGCTGATTCACTAAGCCGAAAACCTTCCATGGATAAAAAAACCTCTCATCAGTCCCACTTAGAAAAATGTATGTGGAAGGGTATTTTCTTGAGATTACACTCAACACAGCACTGCTGGAGCTCTGAGCACTAGCAATAACTAGCTCATTCTCTGGGCTGACAGCATCACTCTCAGGTAAGCTAACTTCACAGAATTCTAAACTATAGGCACCATGCCAAGTGCTTTGGGAACTATTGTTACTGCCGTTTTTATAGATAAGGAACTGAAGCACAGGGAGAAATGACTTGCAGATGACAAGCAGATAGTCTGGCTCTAGAGCCTACACTCTCAGTTACCCAAGATAATTACATCCACTGCTAGTAGAAGCAAAAGGGTGAAGGATGAATTGGGTACAGTGGCTCATACCTGCAATCCTAGTTACTTGGGAGGCTAAGATTGGGAGGACTGCAGTTCCAGGTCAGCTCAGGCAAAAAGTTCTAGAGACCTTATCTCAACCAATTGTGAGTGGGGAAGTGTTAAGCAGGGGGATCATGGTCCAGGCTTGAAAAGCCATGAAAATAAAAAGGGCTGGGTAATGGCTCAAGTGGTGGGAAGTTTTCTTACTAAGAGCAAGACCTGAGTTCCAGCCCCGGCATCACCAAAAGTTAAGAATGAGACTGTGAAATAAATTTAATTGTCACTGATAATAACTACCCAATACAAGATGGGCAGGAATTGTGATCTATCTACGTAACTCTCCAGAGTTCTGCCAGTTGGCTTTTAATTTTAATTAAAAATATATTAATTTTGCAAACCTACTTCATACTTAGAGTAAAATGGTTGTGAACATGCATCTATGAAGTGTTCTTTCTGGAAGTCTAAAATAAACCTGGGACATTTATAGACTTGAGTGAATGGGAAGACGTGCTGCTCTTAATCTGGGAAACTTCTGTTCTCAGTTACAAGGAAGCTTCTCTCATCTACATGGAGAGTAACTGCTTATTTCTATAGCTTTAAAAATGACTCAGTCATTTTCTTTGGTACTCTTAACTCTCAGGAAAAAGGGACTTTTTGCCCAGACATTTCATGTCAGCACAAATTCTGAAAAGCAGAGTTAGTAAGATGATTACTTTCTTACCTTCTGACATAAAATATGGAATCCGGAATCTTCCTTCCAAAACCCTCTGCCTCAAAATTGGCAGAGTGGGTCCATCAAAAGGCAGTGCTCCACAGACAAGGACGTAAAGAACCACTCCCATGCTCTGGGGAAGAAAACAGGGCAATCACTTTCCAGAGAGAACTTTAGACATGGTGCTACTAAACAACACCGGGAGTCTTTTTTTTCCCCCCAGAACCCAGGGCCTTGCGCGTGCCGGGCGGGCGCCCTTCCGCTGGGCTAAACCCCCAGCCCGATCTCCAGGAGTCTTGAGCTACTATGGTCGAACAATATCTGACATTCCCTGGTAACAGTAAGTATAATAAATCCTCAGTGATCTGAACTTGATCAGGTTGCTTACTATTTAACTTTAAATGCTCAGAAGGTAACACCTGTCCCTAGGGCCTTCCTTGAGATCCACTTCAACGGGCTCTAATTATAGTTCAGTGGGTGGGGAAATATGAAACACTGCTATGTGCTAAGCAACAGGAGCTTCTAAGATGGGCCAGGGTAGGAAGTATTATTATTACAGATAGATGTAACCAGCAAAGCAAAGCAATACCCAAATGTCCAGCTGTGGTCCTTCATACTGCTGCCCTTCAAACACTTCTGGGGCTGCATAAGGGGGGCTGCCACACCACGTTGCCAGCAGTTCACCATTTTTAAAGAAATTTCCAAAACCGAAATCTATTGGGATGGAAATAAATGTTACTTTCATCTATGTTCTCAAACTACACTGCATTTCTCTGTAGAAATTTTATGATCGGCTCTATGAACCATGTCATTTCTACTCATTCAATGAAGGACTGGGAAGACATCTATCTTGACACGCTTCCTTAGCAATAGCATGATGACCAACAAATAGCAAGTACTCAGAAAAGCTGTTGAACGAAGGTACTTGTGAATCAAGGTTCTCTCTCAAAGACAGAGTGAGAATTTGGAAAAAAAACTGAATCAAGGTTGCTTTTTTTTACTTTTGAGACAGGGTCTTGCTGTGCAAACCAGGCTGACTGCAAACTCTGGCTCCCAAGGCCTCAGCCTTCTGAGTAGTAGGCTTAGAAAGAGGCATCACCATGCCTATCTCAAACCACGTATGTGGAGTCATTATGAATTTGGTAATCATAGAATTTAATTTTTTACATGTTTTATAAGGAAAAAACAAATAGGTTAAGCATAAGGAAATGTCTGGCTGCTGTTATTGCTAAGTATCAAGATACATAACACGAGGCAACCGAGAAGAGTTTCCTAAGTACTCTGTGTTGATCCATACATCCTGTTAGGAAGATACTCATCTAACAGCTCAGTAACATATGAATAAGACAGCCTAGTCACTAGCCACTTGGCATGATTTATGGAAGGAGATGGCGTCATATTTCAAACAGTTAATAGCCTTCCCTTTATAATCTTAAGTCATACTGAATCTACAGCTTTTTTCTTCTGGGTAGAGTACTGGAATTTGAACTCAGTACTTCTCAATTACTTTGTTTGCTTACTTGGCTGGCACTCTACCACTTAAGCCATGCCTACAGTCCTAGTTTATGATGGTTATTTTGGAGTCTTACCGACTTTTGAACTTTGAGCCTATAGATTTTGGTAGCAAGGATTACAGGCTAGCGCCCCTGGTGCCCAGCTAGAATCTCTAGCATGGATATATAGAATGCATTCTGCAGCTTCTGTAATCACAGGCCTATAATACACACAAGAAATCCAGTGATCTTTGATATAAATGTAAGTTGACTCTTTTGCTGTTTTTATAGTCTCATGTTCTAATTGAAGCAACAAATGCTATTGTTTTGGAAGTTGTAATCACACTATCTTATGTTGTCATATATGCTTTGGGAATTGATAGGAACTGGCTCTACATCTAGCCAGGGCATAGCATTGCTGCAGAATAAGCGTTAAGAGATGCCCCCAAGGGGACTGGATCCAATCACCACTTACTGACTGGCTTTGAGACTTGGATCAGTTTTTTATTTTTGTCGGTTGTGGGGCCTGGGCGCTGTCCCTCAGCTCTTCAGCTCAAGGCTAGTGCTCTACCACTTGAGCTACAGTACCACTTCGGGCTTTCTCGTGGTTAAGTGGAGATAAGAGTCTCATGGACTTTCCTGCCCAGGCTGGCTTTGAACCATGATCTTCAGATCTAAGCCTTCTGAGTATCTAGGATTACAGGCTTGAGCCACTGGTGCCTGGCTTGGATCAGTTTTAGTGTTTCCCTCAGGTGAAGATGCAACACTAAATGACACTAGTCAGCCGGTTGTACTGTGGCCAATGTGCAAATGTAAACTCACACTCTTTTTGCATCTTGAGACCAGGCACACATCTGAAACTCAGGAAAATATGTTTTTAGTCCAAGCTGAATATACTTTGGCTTGCTGACATAAGATGTAGAAGCAGGGGGCTGGGAAGGTGGCTCAGTGGTAGAGTGCTTGCCTTGCATGCTTGAGGCCCTGGGTTCGATTCCTCAGCACCACATAAGCAAAAAGAAAAAAGCCAGAAGTGGCGCTGTGGCTCAAGTGGTAGAGCGCTAGCCTTGAGCTGAAGAGCTGAGGGACAGTGCCCAGGCCCAGAGTTCAGGCCCACAACCGGACCCCCCCAAAAAAAGAAAAAAAAAAAAAGATGTAGAAGCAGGTAGCAGTAATGGTAGTAAGAATAACCTATAACTCCAGCATCATCAATTTGGAAAGAACTAGAGTTGACTTTCAGTTTTGCCACTTTCTAGTTTCAAGTCTCCTAGGAAGTTATTTAACTTTCCTCAACATTAGTTCCTAATCGCTACAAGTGGGATAATCTCCTTTCCAGATAGGATACTTTTGAGGATTAAATGTGATGAAGGATGTTAAACGTCTGGAGCACAGTTGGGAGACATTATTGCCAACTGTTGCCTTTCAGAGAAAAAAGTCCCAAGGAAACACAAAGGAGGAGAAAAAAAAGTGTAGTGGGAGTCTTGGGGTTCAGGAGACAAAGGGGTACATATACATGGGTAAAGCCTGTGGAGTAACAGGATAGGTTTGCCACTACTCTCTTTACAGCGAAGCCTCATTTCAGTCCTTGATCTCACTTCCCCAAATGACCATCAGAAAGGCCTGTGCTCCCTATCTCACGGCCCACTAATCATTCCTGCTACCTCATAATCTGTATGTACACACATGTGTGTGTGTTTCTAGTTTTTTAGGAAAGCTATACTCTCAAGTGAGTCAAGAACTAAATGTCCAAATTTGATTTATACAGGACAAGGTTAGTTTCACTTAAAGAGAAGCCCAAGAAATCTTGGATGTAGAGGGCCTTAAATAGGCCCAATAATGGCTGCACATTAAACCATAATCATAGGATGTTCTTTTACTGTATACACATTGAAGATACTCTCCAAATAGTACTGTAAATCTTCAGTGTCTCAAAGCGCCCTTACAGAGCCCTTTCGTTCTGAACTCCCCACAGCCTGGTGGAATAAACAAAAGGGAGTCACAGGGGTTGGAGGTGTGGTTTGAGTGGTACAACACCAGTCAATGAATAAAATGGTCAGATACCAAGTTCAAGTCCCAGTCTTGAACAACAACGACAACAAAAGTCACAGGTAGAGCCTGTTGGGAAGGCAGCCTGGCTATCATGGCCTCTCAGTGGTACACTTCATAGCAAGAGAGCAAAACCTAGGGGAGAAGTACCATGTCTGTGTTAGGTAGTCCACTTACAATCTTGGCTTTACAGATCTAGGACAGAAAAGGCTTCAATTTTACTCATAAGAAGAGTGGCATTAAGCAGACATTTAGTTCTTTTCTCTGTAACTGAGAACAATACAATATTAAAGGAAACAATGAAGCTGAGCATGGTGCCATAAACCTGTAATCCTAGCTACTCAGGAAGGAGACAGAGGAGAATCAGAGTTTGCAGCCAACCCAAGCAAAGAGCTAGTGAGATCTTATCTCAAGAAACAACTTGGAATGGTTGGTTGAGGCTCATAATCCCAGATATCTGTAAACTAGAGGCAGAAGGATTGAGGTCTGACTCAAGTCCAAGCAAAACACAAAATTTTATCTAAAAAAGAAAGAAAAAGCTGGGTGCTGGTGGCTCATGCCTGTAATCCCAACTACTCAGGTTGAGATGTGAAGATCACAGTTCAAAGCCAGCTGGGGCAGGAAAGTCAGTAAGACTCATTTCCAATTATCACCAGAAAACCAGAAGTGGTGTGTGGCTAGCTTTGGACAAAATGTCCAGGGACAGTACCCAGGCTCTGAGTTCAAGCCTTACAACCAAAATAAAAAAATAAAAGCAAAAAGGACTATGCTTTAAGTGATAGACCACTTGCCTAGTAAGTATAAGGCTCTGAGTTCAATCCTCAGTACTGCCAAAAAAAAAATTTTTTTTAAAGAAACATTGAAAGACAAGGTCCACTCAGCTATTACAATAGTACATACATACGTAAGTCTCTAGACTCCAGAGCACCTCAGACATTGTAGTTAGAATTGCCCAATGAGTGGATAAAGAACCTGGAATCAGGCAGATCCTGATTTTCTGCTTAGGCAGGTAATCTTGAGCAAGTCAGCTCATTTCACAGAGACTTGGTATCATTATTTGCAAAATGGGGGACACTACAGTTCATGAAGTTGAGAATATTGATATAAGTAGAAGAAACATACAATGCTATTGAAAAAGTAAGTACTGTAAATGGTAGTGATTGCTGATATTAACAATATAGTCATTATTGTTGTACTTATCTGTTTTCCCCATAGACTAAATTGCTGTAGTAGAATGGGGGGAAAAAGTCTGCATATCCAGCCCCACAGCATGCAGTTGGCAGTCTATAGCTGTCCAATAAAGATTTGCTGCACCAATACTTTGTTCTTAATCTCTTTCTCTCTTCTCTTTTTTCCAATGTTTGTGATCAAATTCAGTGTCTACACATAAAGCTGAGCTCTACCACTGAACGACAGCCCAGCCCATGTCCTTACCTTTTTAAAAAGTGTTTTTGTATGTTTTTTTTTTTTTTCCAGTTGGTAATTTAAGCTTTTTGAGGAAGACTTCTTAGTAACCGTATAAAGGAGGGAAGTGAAGGTAGAACATTCCCTTGCTAGAGGATGTACGGCTAACTGGCATGTGGCAGAACTGGAACAGAAGGCAGGTTTGACTGCAGAGCCCTCACTGTTAACCACCACCTTTATGTCCTTCCCTGGCACAGTGACTTGGAGCTATTTTTGATCAAGTTAATAACTGTCAAGTTTAAGAAGTGGCAATGGGAAGGTATTTAAAAATAAAAGTCTTTTTATTTCTCCATAGGCGTATGGATAATTTTCTTTATTCACAGCCTACAGCTTTCTGCCAAAATTATATAGTAAAGTAAGGAATAAATGAGTGGCTGCAACATGGAAATTCAGGATTTGTTTCTTATCACCTTACTAATGGACTATGCAGTTGGCCTTCGTATTTATGGGGAATTGGTTCTGGGAATCTCCATGCATGTAAAAATCCACAGAGGCTCAAATCCCTTATTAAATTAGTGTAGCATTTGCATACAATCTACACAAATTCTCTACATCATATATATTATATGTAGTACCTAATACAATATAAAAGCTGAAGAGATGGGCTGGGAAGGTGGCTCAGTGATAGAGCGCTTGCCTTGCATGCATGAGGCCCTGAGTTAGATTCCTCAGCACCACATAAGCAGGAAAAAAAAAACCGGAAGTGGCACTGTG